CCGTAAAGACTATGTTCCTGAGTACATGAGACTGTTATGCTGTTTTTGAAACCTGATGTAAAAAAAATAGAGAATTACTTTTTTACTGTTTGTTTTGTTAGACTTGTTACTCACCGCTAGTCATCTCATATATTTCACTTGGGTCTAAACGTTTAGACCCAAGTCAAATTTAAAAGGATTTGTATAGAGTCATCAGAGCATAACTGGGCTAATATCTAAGAGACAATTTGCCCCGAAATGCTAGTTTTTGGCAAGTAGGCCTCTTGGATGTTGCTCTTCAGAATATCCTGACAAATCCCATAATTTCACAAATGGACACCTTACTCTCACCATATATCATTTCTTACTATTCCTCTGCACTTTCAGTTAACCAGTTCCACAACCATTACGCCGACGTGTACGCCGAAGTGTACGCTCTTGTCTAGTTTTACTTTTGTGGCTTTCCCACAGTCTATCTGCAGGACTGTGTAGTATAGAGTTAAGATTCATACTTCATATTACCTAGCGTGAAACCACTATAATTATGATGGTTACACCACGTACTTAAACTCTCTCTAAGCTTATCCGCTGACCAAGAAAGCGAAAAACTAATCCAAGAAGAAACTCCCAAACATGAATGATTAAGTAGCCCTAATGTTGGTTCAGAAATATACGCATATTTTGATTTAGATGTGATACTTTGCTCAGCTCATCCACTTGACAGACGCTTTCTCGAGCAGCAGAAGTCAAAACCGTATATTGTAACGCATTTGATTTGCTCGGTGTTCTATGTTAATTACTCTCGTTACGAATGGTTGAAATTCAGCATCACGGATAAACTAATTAGTATATCGATGTAAAATTTACGAAGGTGAATCAACAAAATTAAAATCGCTATAAAACCTTATTATTTTACTAAACCAATTTTTTCACTACTTTTGAAAAGAAAAAGTTCGGAAGCTAACGCTATCTATTTCGATGACATATTTTTACATATAATATAAGGTCCTTTTTCATTTATTATTTAAAGTGAGTATAGAAATCGGCCACTTTTTTTTGAGAAACTTATTATACCAATGTTTATATCGGTTGATTATCAGTACGATTAGCAGTGACCTAAAATATTCAGTCTGAGGTAAAGTAATTGGGACAATTGTACAAACCTACCACGGCTTGAAAAATGCAGTTTAAGCCCGTGCTTTATTTGTTCCTGCTCACCAATTATAACAAAAAAAACATTTCTTTTCAACTGTTCGATTAAAGCCATTTCCTAGAATTCTAAGCCCTTTGGAGCCTATCTTGTACCCAAGAACAATTTACTCACGGGTAATTTTAGTGCTTAATTGAATGTAAATAAAACGAATCGAGGAGTCTTTTTGATGAGAATGGGACACCTGTCGTGACTACAAGAAAGATTATGAGATATTTCAATTCTTCTTGGTGTAGAACTTTATAAAGTGTCCATGTTAGTACTGCATAATAATATGATCTTTTGATTAAAACAAATATAACTATGATGAACATTTTTAGTAAGCCGAATGCTGTTGTTGATATTTATCATTTTGACTTAAAGGTTTCCTCTTCCACTTGAAGAACACACTCGTCTACTTCAATAAGTCCTTAAGCCGTGTTGAATTGCAGACTCAGCTATCTGGGATAAATTTGAAAGTAAATTAAAACATATTATAGCTGAACTGAGAGTCATAAAAATGTCATGCACGCCAGATTTTTATCACAGATTTTTTTCGTGAACATTGTTTGATACCATGTAACACCCTGTCACTAAATTTTGACCTTCAATCCAAACATATGATATTAGTTTTCTACAATAGTACTTCGTTGCTGTTACCTCAGCATTTTACATATCTAAGCCATTTTTGGCTTAGATATGGACAGTAAACCTACAAAGGAAAGCACGTTGAATGGACCTCAGAAGAAGAGATCAAATATGCGCATCTACCCAATGTGAATGATTATAGATCATTATACGTGTCTCAAAAGTTGTGGTCGTCAATGCGTTGTTTAATATGCTAATTATATTCTTAATAAAAATACAAACAGTGCGTTTGAAATTACCCACAAATATTTTTTTTCCGTAAACTCGTGATTGAATAAAAATGTTTTTGCTTCTCTTTATCACACTGGTTTAAGATCTATTTTTAAGTTAACCGATCTCCATGTTTCCAATTACACACCCCACACCGCTACGATTTCACAGCGAACAAAATTGTTTATCCACCTAACAAAACAGAGAGTGTCGAGTTATATCAGGTGTCTACATAATTACCAAATGTGAATTTTATTAGTGAACTTCATTATCACTTTCTTTTAAAGCCACTCCATTGCAAAGAAGTTGTGGTTATGCTTTTGCTTTGTATTGTAGATAGTTCGTTACAGTTTTGATTCCATCGTGATGAATATATTTCTTCTAATAGTTTTAGCAACTTTCTTGAATTCTGTTGGAGGTGTTGGTAAGTGTCTCGTTTATTGCACTTTTATAATAGAAATTAAAAGAATAGCTAGCTATATTGAGATAATTCGACCACCAAAACGTGTCAGCAAAGACTGCCAAATGGTTTAAGTGCTGGACGTTTTAAAAATGGCGATGTTACTACAGAAGACAGATTAAAAAGCGTGTGTTTCAATTCCTACTTTTTTTTGATTACTCTGAAGCAGTTGAAAATGAAATTTAAAGCAAACACTTTAAATTTTAAACGGCAGTCTTTAGAAATTTACATCCACGTGTTAGAAAAAAGTTTTCAGTTGTTAATATTTTAACACCATCAAGCGTTAAAATGGTCGGTTTTCAGTGAAAAAAAAAGATAGTCTAGAAAAACAAAAAAAAAAGTGCAAGTTTATGAACTGTTGGCCATATGCAGACTAAACAATGAACAAAAACAAATGTTTCTTCGGATTATGTGGGCGTCTTAATTCTTGAGAAGATAATTCCTAGTGGTGCTTTCATTTTTAACATCAACTCTGTTATATCTTTTTCACAAATAATATGATTAAGATGATACAATTCATGAATATGATTTATTACGCAAAAAGTAAAATGAAAGAACTCGTCTGTCCGTCATTTACTTTTGCTCTACTTTATACCCTTTCCCTCCTATAGTGAATGGTGGCTGGTCAGGTTGGTCAGCGTGGAGTGGCTGTGCGGCCGGCATTTGCGCGGGAAACCAGCGCATTCGAACAAGAACTTGCACCTATCCCATACCAAGTGACGGGGGAGCTTGGTGCACAGGAGAAAATGCGCAGCAGTTAGATTGTTTGAGTGAGTATTCACTGCAAAATTGCTGTTTTTTTGAGTGAGAAACATTAATAGAAAAATTAATTAACTCACTTCAATATTAGTTCCAACGATGCTTTTTCAAATTGTCGCTCCGAAAGTGTTGGAACCCGCTAAGAAAAGTGTCAGGTTTTCGGCAAGTATTAGAGTATTTGCTCAGCCTTTAACACCGCGAAAAAGCACGCAAGGAAGAAATAATGAATATTTCCAAAACTGCCCGAAAATGTTTGTTACTTAGAAACTTAGATCTGTTTAAAGAAAGTTGTAAAGACATTCTTAGATTTCTCTTTCCCCGATTAGAAAGGCATTTTCTTTGCTTCTGCAGTAAACTTGTGTGATCCCTATTATGACTATAAGTCTCAATCTTATGACATATGCCAACTGCAGTGGAACCGACCTAAACTCCCTAATGAACTCCCCATTCAACTTATTTATTTTTTCCTGTTTCTTTACTTTTGAGTTGAATTCGAGATTATTTATAACATTATAAGAAGCCTGTTAATGATCCTGCATTTATCATGTTGATCTTCCATACCAGCCAGTGCTATTGTTTCAAAGGAAAGCCTTTTGGTCCGTTTTAATTTACGTCAATCGGTAACATTTCACATTGTAGTGTACATAGTTAAATCTGACGAGTTCTCCTTTGACCAACGGCGTTCACTCTTTTTTAAGTCGTTTATTAAAGAATTCTGATTTCATTTTAGTTGATGGAGGCTACACAGAATGGAGTCAGTGGTCACTCTGTGAAAACCCATGTGGGGGATCCATAGTTAACAGAACCAGGAACTGCAGCAACCCTATCCCCACTGCCGATGGGAAGCCATGTTCCGGAGATTCATTCCAAACAAAGTTGGAATGTACCTTACCATGCTCAAGTTAGTAAAAAAGTGTTTTGTTTTTTTTTATTCAGTAAAACACTTGAAGCTATTTCTTTTGGCGTAAAATGATAGTGATATTCAATATTAGTATTCACCAATTCAGTGGATAGTATTTTCGTGCGTTCTGATTGGCTCCAGTCCCGTAACTCTGAACAACGATATTCATTGTCCTGGGACGGGACTCAAAATGGCTGCTCGTTTCGCGACAGTTTCGAAAGATGAAATTTTAGCGGTAAATGAATCAGCTGTACCAACAAATACCAAGAAAGAGACAAAATTTGGTTTGTCAGTGTTTACTGGTCGGTAGAAAAAAATTTTCGTACCGTCTTTGCAACAGAATCATTAAAAATGATCCCCGAAACACTGTCAATTGAAACGTGAACAAACTTTAACTAAATAACGTCTTCAATTTACAAAAGGTTCCTTTTTGATTTTTATCAGAATGATTTGGTAAATACTAAAGCACCTCCCCCCCTCCCCACCACCCTCCCCCCCCACACCCGTCCTCCCACACAGTCTCCCATTCCTCCTCCCCCATGCCTCTCACGCAAAAAGTCCACCCCTCCCCTTACGTGCTGTATCATACTTCTCATGTCGTACCAATATATTTTCTTATCCCTCTTTCAAAAAAAGTCATAAAAAAAATCCCCCAAAACCATTCAAATTAAAACTGAAAAAAACTTTAACAAAAAACCCTTTTAAATTTAAAAAGGTTCCCTTTTTATTTTTTTCAGAAATATTTTGTAAAAAATAAAACCCCCCCCCCCCCCCCCCCCCCCCCCCCCCCCTCAGGGTCGTTTCATAGAGGTCGATTATTTACCTCGACGCTTCGCGTCACAGCTATTCACTTTCCCTTTGGGGGATAGTCGTATAATATTTTTGCCGAATCAAAACAAGTTTTTTCGTTATAATCTGTTTCATTCATTTTACTATAATTTCATTTTGTAGTTATGTCATTTTTTTTCTTTGGGAATCAACAGACAATTCGGCTGGTATGATTAATTTATGGCATTTTTTTTTCAATCATGTGAAAGCTAATATGAGCGATCACCCTGACCAATCGCAGTGGACGCAGACAATCCTTTGAACCAATTGCTATTCAAATGCAAAGAAGAAGCTTTCTGTCGGTTTCGCGAAAATTTCCAGGCCAGGTTTAATCCAGCATTTGTTCTTCAACATTTTACCATCCTCATTGCAATAAGTTTACTCTGCGCACATCAAATCGCCATTTTAGTAAACTTAATTTATATTTTTTTTTTTCAGCTTTAAGAAAATATTGACCTTTGAAATCCGCTTATTTTTTTTTGACCTCTATGTCTTGCTGCAAAACAACCTTACTTAATCCCCTTTTTCTATGGTGGGACATACATGTATGGCCGGGACTAGTCATGCACAACAAAATTTAAGAAGGGCGTTTACAAGGTGTTCGGTCTCACCCCAGGTTAGGTTCATTTCCTTGAGCTCTGCCCGCTGTTCTAGCCCAAGCGCCTTTTCTGCCACCCAGCGTTCCTTCTACGGAGTGGACTCCATCTTAGCACAATCTTGGGAATCACCTGACTGTCCATACATGCCCTACCCTACCCATTTGAGGCGGGGCCTCTAGATCTCAAGGGTGATTCTTGTGCTCCTTGTCATGTGGTATAGATCTTCATTCGACACTTTTTTGGGACAGAAGATACGGCAGATTATGTTCAAATTATGTTCTTTTTTAATATTTTTTTGTTATAGATTAAATCAATGACAACGATTTGAAAACACGAAATTCCATTTTTTTTTCATATAACTCCAGCCCATTAAAAACAAACATGCTTAAAATAATCGGCGTCTTTTGTTTCTTTTTAGCTATTCCTCTCGACGGTGAATGGAGTCCTTGGACGCCATGGACACAGTGTTCTAAAACCTGTGGAATATTAGGAGGGGAAATTCTAAAGAGAACGCGATTGTGCAATCAGCCTCCCGCTATGAATGGCGGGAAGCCCTGTGTTGGTAATGATACAGAGACGGCCAAGTCATGCTTGACGCCTTGTCCAGGTGGATATAGTAAAAAAATACATTAGGGTGCTTAAGCAATGATAACAGCGACGGCAGAGAGATTAAACTGGATTCGATTTGTTTCAAACTTCATTGCGAGCATTGCGACAACCATCTGCAAGAAGGTTGAGACACTCCGACGAAAAAACGACCTTTCTTGCTTCAAATTGCTCCTGGTTACAGGTCTGTGAGATAAAATACTGACCTCCCTCCTCCCTCCCATTCAAAGTGGTTCCTCCAAGTTTTGAGTATGGTCTTGTATTGCTAGCAACTTTGATAAGGGAGGAGGATCACAACCACAAGATCATGGACAGGGCATTTATGCCAAAATACGGTACACTGTCTCAAGTACTTTTGCAACTGGTTGTAGAACATATAAATCTGTCAAGTACAGTGAAACCGCGCCTTACGGCCTGGCAAAAACCGCCATACATTTTGTTTTAAAAAATAACCCCTCGTTAATACGGCCACCCCATTGATACGACCAAATGTTTTTGGGCTATTGGTGACTGTATTAACGGGGTTCCACTCTATCGGCAAATTTTCCGGTGTTGAGTTTCCATCGGCCACGCTCAAGTTCAGAATAAGAAAGAAAAATTCGTTGTATTGCCCGAGAAAGTTGTACGTTATGGCCGTCCTGCAGTGTGTCCAACGGCAAAGAAAAGTCCTAAATTAAGTCCAACTGCAGGGTTGTTTTCTTTTTGCCCTTGCTCTTTTTGATCTCCTCTGTGCGGTCGCTGCCTTGGGTTGTTAAAGATACCTTCATCAATCGATTGATAGATCAACCAATCAATTTGTCTGTCAATCAATCAGCTAATTACTTCATCGTTATGTGAATAACAGTGTTTAGCACTAGTTGGTTTCATCAAACTATATATCAAAGCGAATAAAAGGGAATTACCCCAATCAACGGATTTGACCGAATTGCTAGCGGTGTTGCTTGTAGAAGTAGTTCCTGCCTCAATGAGAACCTTCCATAGGAGGATTTGGTCCAATTTACACATGGAGCACCCAAGAGAAGTCCTATATACAGTAAAAATCCGCGAGTAAGAACCTAGTAGTTTGAGAACCTGCTGGCAGAAATTTGCTATTTTAATACTCAAAATGTAAGACCTGTAAAATCCCATGCAAGCAAGATCAAGCAGACTCTTATATGTGGGTCACAGTTTAGACGATGATAAACACCATATGTGGGTTGAGTTTGTTGTTGGTTCTCTCCCTTGCTGCGAGAGGTTTTTCTCCGGGTACTCCTGTTTCCCCCTCTTCTTAAAAACCAACACTTTCAAATTCCAATTCGATCTGGAACGCACGAAAACGTATCAACGAGTTCTTATGAACTCCTAAGTGCTCCGTGGGTAAACAAATTACTAATTACAATTACAATATTTTAACCAAGTGTGATTTTGAGATTTTTTAATAGAAGAAAATACTTTATTAATCCATTTGCTTTTTATCATACAACTTATGCTATGGAGATAATGCTAGATATATTACATACATTCTGTAATAGCTTATCGTGATATTTAAGAACCAAACCCAATTTTTTCTGGTAGTCAACGACAATTAGCTCCTTCGTCGAAATAAGAAACATCTTTAAGAACCCACCTAACCTAAATTGCGATTAACTACCTCAAAATACATGAAACATTTTTGACAGAATTAAGAAATTGTTGTTACACGCGGGCTTTTACTGCATTCACAATTTCGAATGCAATTGTTGTTCTTAGTTGATGGTGGTTTCAACCTGTGGTCTGCATGGACAACATGTAGTCAGACTTGTGGGACTGGTACCCACACAAGGAACAGAACCTGCGACAACCCAGTGCCAAACTACCATGGCAAAAACTGCACTGGAGACTTCAGTGAGGTAGCAAGCTGTAAAATAACTTCTTGTCCTGGTGAGTAGACCTGATAAACTGACAATTCCTTTATATATTCCTTAAATTCCGACGAACTGTAGAGTTATCCCGATGAGTATAACTATGGCAATAACCTCCTTACCGGTCTTTGACTTTTGAATTAATCATTCAAGAATCGCACGGTCTAGTTTATGCAGTGGGCTGTATTGTTTCGTAATTTTGTAAATCTTGGTATCCAAAAAAATTCAAGCAGATTTTTGGGTGTTGCTCACAGGCAAAATATGCCAGTTTCAATTTGATCAAAACGGTAACGCAGTGACTTCAACCAATGGTGACTGCCTTCCCTTTACAAGATCTTTTGCATCGCTGGTTAATGCACCTGACCTCCTATATGAGCACGAAGCTGAATGTCCTCAAGGAAAATGTATAGTGTACGAGTAGCGTTCACAGAAGAGTTGAATGTATGATCATGAAATGTACTCAGTGCTACGCCACATGTCTCAATTCTGTAATAGGTCTCTTCCTACGATTTGATTACCCTTAATTAAAACCATTTTCAAGAACTTACGACTCCGCTCACAGAGTTGCCGATAAATGCAAATTCGAGTGTAATACAACGGTTAACCGCACAAAAACTTGAAATTCTTGAATAGAAAGTCACAGAATTCCAATAAAAAGGTAAATTTTAAATAAAAGCATACAAAACAAGAGAAGGAATGAAAACAAGAACACAATCGACCGACAGATGCGGCTTGGATTATTTTATATATAAAATAATCCAAGTATTCTATATTATATATTAAAATATATAATTGAATACTGTCCCCGCGCAAAACAAATTTACTCTTATTTTTAAGGTGCAATTGATGGAGGCTTTACAATGTGGTCTTCCTGGAGCACATGCTCAGAACCAACATACTGTTTGAAAGGTGTTTCCAAACGAACCCGTACTTGCACTAATCCCCCTCCAGCTAATGGCGGAGATGACTGTGTGGGATTGTCAGCAGAGAGTAAAGATTGCCCCACCCAAGCAGATGGATGCACAAGTAAGACGTTAATGGTCAACATACCAGGGGAAAAGGGGGCTAGAGCGTGTGCCCTCACCTACTCTCCACATCGTTTTTCTTATGCTTTGACATAATGACTGATACTTGAAACTCCTTGAAAGTCTGTCTCGACATTGTCTCAGTTTTCTTGTTCATTCAAAGTCGAAATGGTGAAGTCGTTTTACCAGTTCTCTAGACTCGTTCATGCCTTGCAACCAATACTACTTTCCCCTTTTTTGTAATAAATTCAGTTTGATTTCTTGAAACAGAATCATATGCTCTTGTTTTCATCTTACTGCCTCTTGATGGTTATTTTATAGTTATATTGTACATGGAAGAAGCTGATGTTTATTTATAATCGCATTATTCGATTTAGCTTATGAGCCACCTAAGCCAGACAAAATAGCAGCTGACCCTAATTCCTGGATAGCTTTGGAGTGCGATGCAACCGAGAAGTTCTCAGCCACAGGAGCATACAAACAGGATGTTCCGTATGCTGTGTATACAAATTTCAATTTCATGAAGACGGAGTTGGAGAGTGGATGGTTTGCGATCAAAATTGAGCCGGATGATAAAGATGATTATGGAAAGAAGAATCTCACCAAGGTTTGCTAATGACATGGACGATTTTAAAAATGAACGATAACCGAACCAATTTCGATTGGAATGTTGAGCTCATTTGAGCTTATCTCTGCGCTGCGGGCTCTTTCAAAATTGCTTACCAGTTAAGTCAAACCGTTAAGATCTCAAAATAATAATGATAATTAAAAAATCACATACGATTGTCATGAATGCAGTGTCCTGCAGAGTTTTAAGTTCAAACGTATAGACACTGTAAAACGTAGTTTGGAAAAGACCTCTTCTTGCTTGCAGCAGACCCGGGGTAAATAACGTCCCTTCACTTAACTGTGCTTTATCATTTTTTTTTTCTCGTTCAGGTGTGTTTTGAAATGGTCAGCCCGTTAACTATTAAAAAGGTTGTGGATAACATAGCAACGTACTATGCAAGGATTGACGTACTACCTAGTTGGACACGCCCCGAACAAACAGAAAATGTCCCTGCTATCTCTATCTGGATTGATGAAACACAGCTTCTAAGAAAATATGAGTTCCAGTGCTCTAAGTCTGATAAATATTCCCCGCAAGCTGGATTTGAAATAACCGATGTTAGGTCAGTACATACATATCTATACATACGTATTCTGGGTAGAATGTATTTCGCAGAGCGCTCAATTCATTTAAGTGAAGAGCATTGTCTATAGCATTAATAATCACAGGAGTTCAGGCTTCCGGAGTAATCATTGATCGTTTATTGCGACATTGCTGTTTCGTATGGTCCGAAATTGTAGGACCACACTCATCAGGCAATAATCTTTCCCGAAGGGGCCTTTTACAGTTTTTAATAACACTCCTCACTGACCAGTCAACTCGAAATGTAAGTAATTAGTTCTGTTTTTGATTTCTTAATTTAGGTTCTCCTATTACACAGAGGGAAGTACTCAAAAATTTTCAGCAAAAGGGAACTATACGCTCAAAACAGGAAATGTATTCGCTACAGAAGTGTGGAAAGATGTAACAACTGGATCGGTGTACGCCAAGGGCACGGCTGCCTCTGCTACGTTTGGAGATATGTTAACCTCGTTTGGCTTAAATCCTTCAAGTTTACCAGATTTTTTTGTCAATGCCCTGAAGTAAGTTGCCGTTGTTTTTGGTTCGTTTATTTATTCGCTCTTGAAGGTCATCCTTGAGAAGTGATGCTACCCTAAGAACCACTTTGCACCTACTACGGGTGTTATTTGAACTAGGTTTACTCTTCCTGTGCGGGGTGCAAACGCGGTAGCAGCGGAGCATGGTCACAAATTAAAATAATTCAGCTTTGTTATCCGGGTGAAGACGGATGGGAAATGCCAAAAAAGTGACTGCCCCAAGGAAATGTGGTAATCTACCCATCCGAGAAAATTTGGTAATCACGCGACCGTACACCGACCGACCGCCCGTGCGCCCGACCGTCCGTCTGCACCAAAGGCATACCAATGTAAAATAACTCAATCAACAGGTATGGCAACCCAAATGCAACTCAAGGTTTTATTTGGAAGAAAATCACATGGCCGCCCGGACTTTTAGAAAGAAAAAACAACAACAAAGTCGTGTCTTTTTCGGCGTTATTTTTTATGTTTACACACTAACGTGGATAACGGAGAAAGAGCGAGAGCTAGAGCGAGTTATTGAAAATAAAGGAGACGAATTTCGTAGGAAGAAAAACATGGAGATTCAAAGCGGCGGTGAGAAAATGAGAAATGCTAGCGGCCATCAAGGTGAAAAAGAGCGGCAGTGAAAAATAAAAGCGAACCTGAACACAGGAAACAAAATGTCGGGTATTAAAGCACATATCTGGTGGGGTAAGTTTCTTTTGTTTTGTGTCCCCAGGGCGTGAAAACAAAAGAAACCAACCCCATTAGACCGGGGTCCCCCACTCAATGTAAACAGGCCCTTAGATCTGTTGGTCGAAGCCATTTTCATTGTCGTCCGTTTAGCATTACACGATTTAATTTTTTTTTGTTTACACGTATTATTAACCAGAGCTTCGCTTTTAGCCCTGGCTAAATCTATATATTACATGGATCGGGAATAAAGATTTTTTCCCCATAATCCCTTTTACCCTAACATTTTAGGTCGCAAATTGAAATGACTTCGTCAACTACTGTTCAATGTTATGAGGCTTCATGTGTCTTAAACGCGGTGGAATATTTTTTGAGTCGACCGCTTTGTGATCACGTCATCAGTCAGCCGGCTCTAAGAAACAGTGATTAATCATCATTCTGATAATGATAACATTTTCGTTCGCGCATTTCCTAACCCAGAGAAGATTATCCGTTTTAGTTCGGACTATGGCGGACTTGATTAATACCATTTTAGAGAAAATCTAAGCCAATGTTTTCTTTACTTGGACAGGGGAATTGGTGTGTGGGATTTCAATATGGCGCCTGCTGAGTTTGCAAGGAAATTGGAACAATTCGGCCTTTACCGCTTCACTGGAACGATTGACGCAGGCGGTGTTCCGATTCATGCAGAAATTTTGGCGGGATATAAATTTGGAAGACCGCAGTTTGCGATTGGTTTTTCCTTTGATAAAGAATCGTACGGCAAATTGGCAGAGAAGCTGTCTGGAATAAAGGTTGATTTCTTGGATTCCCTTGGAATAGACTTGGAGGTATCAGCTATAATAAGTGTCCCAGTAATCGATTTGTTTAACCCTCTTACAATCTAAGTTTAGAACAGAAAGTTACGAAACCCAGCTTGCAGGAGGCAAGCCAGTAGACTTACAAGCCATAACCCAAGCCAAGCGTAACTCGGCCTAATGGTCAGGGCGGGACTTATCTGATTCTTCTTTGAAGTTTTTCGTTTCATAACTAGCAAACAGGATGTATTCGGCAGTGCTGATCCTAGCAATTTGCAGTTCGCGTTTCACAAGCAAAGGTAGTGATTGAAGTTGCTCGATCATCAAGAGCCCTTTCGTAGCTCAGTTTTTAGTGTGCCCACCGATAGACATTTAGAAGAATCGCATAGACATTTTATTTAACCTTTCTTTCATCTTTTAAATGGTGCACGGTGATTACTGAGTTATTCGGATACTTTTGTATTGTTAACGAGGCTTTGACTGGGTAGCGGAAATTTCCAGTTCACCGAGGGATATAAATTTTCATGTTAATGAAAAAGGTCGCATTTAAGAAATATTGACCGAAAAGATATTTCCAATGTGTTAACATCTGCTAAATAACTGCACTAGTGTTATGTTTTGATACAGATATCCTTCTGTCAAGCCTATGTTAAATACATTATTACTTAAGATGACACTAAAATAAGAGTACCTCAGGGGTAATAATTATTCTACTACTTAAAGTCCAACTTCGATATGACGAATCTTTATTTTACGAAGTCCTTGGTACAAAGAACTTTATTCTTCCTGCCAGTAATAGTGAAATATGTGGAAAAGAGCTTCGATATTGCGAAACCTTTTTGTAACAAAGATACTTTGTCGGTCCTTTGGCCCTTGGTTATATCGAGGTTCCGCTGTAGTTCTTAAGAAATTTACATGTTAAAATTTTCAATTACCTGTTATAGGTTGGTGTAAGCTTTAGTGTTCCCACTTCGCTAGGATTTCAGCAGGTCCTTGTTGATAGTACCACCACGTTTTCTAAAGAACCGCTCAAAAGTTTTCATACCGTCTCCGTCCCAGGAGGTAAGAAGAATGTAAGGTAAAGATAAAGTGGAAGTAGACTGATGAGGATAGACTAAGTTGTGCGCACCTTTCGAGCCAGTTAAAGCTGCCGTTTTACTACTTTCAGAAAAAAGACTAAAACTTAAAGAAAAATTGGTCTGAAAAGCGCGCGTAAATACTGAGCGAGTATGTTGGGACGTGCTCATGCCCCCCTAGGCATCCCATAATGCTCCTTAAATCTAAGTAATTCAATATGGCCGCCGTATCGGTAAAAAGGTCTATTGAATAACAATATATTCTTAAAAGACGGTTAGTACTGTACTTTGCATTGGTTGTCTCAGTGTCGCTTCTCACGTTTATAGTCATACTGATGGTCAATTTATTTTGTTTTGTTTGCTAACTATCCATTTTTGCATTTAAGGTATTTTCGTCGCGGCCCAAATTACCCTACCGAAGGACTGTTCAAATAACAAATTCTGTGAAATTTGCAAGATGATTCTGGGACCAACCATCAAGTGGTATATTAGTGGACAGTTTGAATGGAAAAAGATCAAAGTCACGACCGGGTTTCGTAATATTAAACTCTGGGATGGACTGGCATTTGATAGGCTTGAGTTGTACGTCGAGGTGAGCTTTTGTACTTTCTCACTTTGCTAGTTGAAAAAGGCAAAGACATACCACCAGCATGGATCGTTTTTAGCACTTTAAGTATAAAGATATGCTCAGCTGTTTACTAACTAAATAAAAATAAAGACAGCTTCTCAGTCTAGAATTGTGTGCCAACCATAACCTCTCTGTTGTGTAACTGTTAGGCGGAATTCAACGCTACCCACACACATGTCAAACTGGGCTTCCGCGTGGATATAAAAATACCTGTGAACGGCGAGATCGAACGGGACGGCATCATAGCTCCTGGAAATGATCTGTTTCTCTTTGGTGTGTTGGAGTACGACTTTACAGAAACGAAAGTTTCCGGAAAACTGGGCATGCGCGGAATGTGGCGAAAAGCCTATTGGATCCCTTGGTTATCTTTAGGAAACATCTTTCTTGGGTAAGAAGCTGTTGAATGAGGCTGCAACAGTTTTGAACGTAAGGGCATACGTTATCCTCCTCCTCTTCTTCGTCATTATAATCGTTTGCGTATACAACTTATGCCTGAGAAACGATGATATCTTCATAATATAACCGTGTTTAGTATATACACACTCAGTGATCTTGCCGATTTAAGCAATCTGATTGGTTCGCTATCTCGGACTATTCAACGATATTCACCTCCTAGCGAGTGGATAATGTGTGAGCTCGGTGTTTTTCCCATTTTTTTAGAGAACGATCTTTTAAAAGTCGACAAAATCCTGGGGTTGACTTTTTTTAAGGCAAGAAAAGACTTGGAAGGATTCAATACGGCGTTTTTCAATTTACTGTAGCTGAGTTTTATGCTCGATGGATTGTTTACATTCCCGTGTATTCGCGAAGAAGAAGCCTTTTCGTGAACTCAGCGTTTTCTGACAAGAAAATTTTGGCTCAAAAATTGAAGTTTACTTATGACAAACAAATTTAAAACGAAATGTTTGCAGAAATTCTACGTTTCAAGTAAACAGGAAAGAAAATGATACAGGAAGACGACGTCTTACCTCGAGCAACCGAGCCGTCATTTTTTGTCAGCACTTCATGCGAAGAACGACACAACCAACCCTTTTGGCTATACACTTGGCGAGTCAACAGAAAACAACAAAGCTCTACTTTTCTTCTCGGGTAGGGAAACAGTTCAAACTTTTAGCAGTTCCATTTAAGCCATTACGCTGTTGTTTGCGAAATGATAAACTTGTGAATTGCCATGTTTGAAAATTCTGCAAAGATCTATTTTAAAACTTACGCGTGATTTGATCTGTCAATCAAATCGTACTTTTTAATAGTTTCCTCTCTGATTTTGTTGAGATCACTTTCTTTTGTATATACTAAAACAATTATTCTTTTCAATCTCGGTGAATAGTGGCTTTGAGAAAATTTACCTCGCCGCTTTCGCGGCCCGGTAAATATTTAGCCACTATTCACCTTGATTTCAAAGAATAATTAACAATTATTCGCCGAAGGCGAAGTTAATATTGTTGAATAATCCCCGAGACGAGGTCGAGGGGATTATTCAACAATATTAACTGAGCCTGAGGTGAATAATTGTTTTAGTATATTCACACGAAGTGATCTCAACAGAATCAGAAAGGAAACCATTAAAAAACCATTAGTTTGATTGACGGGTGAAAATTCATGCGTGAACACGAAGCCGTAAACAGTGGATGCGCAAAAGTTAGATCTTTACAGTATCTTCAAACATGGCAAATGATAGTTTTAATCCTTTTGTATCGAGTTTTGTAAGCTTTAGCATCAACGGTTTAAAAGAAAACGCCGAAAATTTAAATTACTACCCAATTCTGAGAAGAAAAGTATCTAGAGCTTTATTTGTTTCTGTCAACTCACCGTGAATGAGAAAGTTTTCTTCGTCGCTTCTTGCAAATGCTGTCAACAGCGGCTGCGATCAAGGTAAGCGTTGTTTATCTCCAAAGTTCTTTGCCTTGTTAACTTGCTGGCACGTACAATTTTCGAAAATATTTGCCTTCCTCTCTTCTCCATAAATTAACCTCTATTTATAGGCAAAATTGGTCTTGCGAGAAAATCCCGAAATCACAAAACAGTGACAAAGCGACCTCGTTTTCCTCTGTAGTGGTAAACATAGCTTCGAGCGTACAAAAAGTCAGCTAAAGTAAACCACTTCACAATAAATCACGCTGTTTAAACACCATGAAGTCTTTTCTTGCTTTCAAAGTCATCAGCACTTGGATATTCGTGTATTTTCAAACAGGTTTTACTTTGAAACTTTGGCAAAACACCCAGTTCACGACAGCGATTTTGCTCGGCTTTATATTCACCGCCTAGCGCGGTGAATATAACGTCATAGTCCGAGATAGCTAACCAATCAGATTGCTTGAATTACCAAGATCACTGAGTGTGTATATACTAATTGTTAATGAATGAATTTTATCACTAACTAGTATTCAGCCCGTAAGTAGTTACAATAACGGTATTTACAATGAGATCAAACAAGATAAAACAGTAGTTACAACAAAAACGCTTATTCCAAAAAGTACATACATGTTATTACTAATTAATCCTTCAGTGACAACTTAAAAGATGGTGCAAGTAATACTTTCTTAAAAACATGGGGTGAACTACACTAAAACTTATATTCGAGATGCCGGAGACAGCTCTTTATTCACCTTAAGGTAAAACTAAGCTGCTCAAGGGAGAAGTGGATTGCTAAGAGAATGGGTCGTTAACCTCTTGTCTTGGAAAACTGCGGGAGAATTCTTTTATTTATTCCACTCTCGTTAAATTAGTTTCCAGAATTTCCAAGCCCACAGACCAAAATAGTTTAAGAACCCGAAGAAAACGTTGTTGTCAGTAATTTGACGATGGATGTGTTGTGGTTCAATTTTATCTTTAATTTGAATTTTCTTTCTGAGTATGGGAGTGTATGATAGTCAATTTGAAACAAAGGTAAATAACAATTTGACCGAAGATCAAATCTGCCTTTGCTGCATTCCTGTGAAACTTAGGCATCAACTCGAGGCTTGGATGGACAATTTACAGTGAGCTGTATGAATTTGTCCACCCGGGCCTCGACCTCATTTCTTTATGTTTGCTCGCTGCAGCGGAATGCGCATGCGGGAAAGGTCTTTTGAGCCACAACAATTATGTAAAGATCATCACATTTAAGCCTAATGATTATAAGGAAATAAATTCCTTTTCCTGCAAAACCTTTTCACCTAAACGTACTTTTTGAAGTTATATTTCTTTCCGCATTTATTGCCCCCGCAGGGATTTCGCTCAGAAGGCGAAATCCAGAAGAGGCACTCTAGTAACTCGCGCGTATATTAAGGAAAGTACTGACAGTTGAAATATACAGTCATACAGTCAATATAGAAAAAATCTCGATTTGCTTGAACAGGGGCCGCGAGGAATCGGTAGGTAATGATGACGTTTCTATTGTTTGGCCCGCAAGTACGAAATAGTTAGGATGACCTAAAGACAGAAAATCCCGAAGCGACCGCTTAGGTAGATTTTGTGACATTTATTGTGCAGTGATACTTCGCTACTCTTTTGCGTTACGTGTTATCAGTGACATTCTGTGGAGCAGTTGTTTTGAAAGTTATGGACCAAAAGACACTCGTTAAGCGCAAGTTATAAGGTGCGTATAGCTTTGTACATATAAACACTTGAAGGATTTGCCAGACACGAGTTCACAAATCTTTGATTGGAAACCTTGCCAGACACTCTTTCTCTCTCTTTGACCGGAATAAGACTCAGCCCCTCAGAGCCCCTGCAGCCCCAAACAAGCAAGACGAGTGAACAACGTCTACCTTATCACTAGCAGAACGATGGACGATCACAGAAATTCGCCGACAATCAAATTCTGTGCTGACTTATTCCCTGCTCACAGATGTCCTTCCCCTGTAAAGTTTAAAACTAACACTAGAATGCGTGAGCGTGAATATGATCAAACGTCCTTTTAATTACTTTCCGGCAAATAAAATGAACTGAATGTAAAAAGTGAAAGAGAAATAGCGAAAATTCAATCTTTTCTTATGGTTTAGAATAAACTATTCTCGAAACTGAGAATGTTTTGATCAAAGCTGTGTAAATCGAACTGAAACTGTGCATGGAACCTTGCGTTTCCTGTATTTATCCTACCTGTTGTATGGAATATGTGTGAAATTCTTCATTATGAATCGAATCGGTATACCGTAAAATTCCGAAAATAAGCCCCGGGGCTTATATTTTTCAAAGGCCCTTTTAGAGGGGTTTATATTCGGAGGGGCTTATCAACAGAGGGAAATCTGCGTTTCAAAATCGATTGCGCTAGCCTTATAGTTGGAAGTGAATTTACCGTTTTTGCTTTGTTGTACTTTGTATTTGAGGGCAATTTTCCAAGTGCAAGCCCCCGGGGGCTTATATTTGGAGGGGCGATTTAACGGAGGGTTTTTTGCGTTACCGGTTTGAGGGGCATATATTTGGAGGGGCTTATACATGGAGGGGCTTATTTTCGGAATTTTATGGTATTTCAAAGAGCTACACAACAGGCAATTATACTATTGACCAACAATATACAGAGCGGGGGCAGCTGTAGTGTCAAGTATTACTAGTTTATTAGTTGTCCATTGCAGACAAATATATATATACATGTATTTGCGATCTTAATTAAACTCTGGACGTGTCAAGTATAACGAATTTATGAGTGTAACATACTTGGCAATTATAACAATCAAGCATGCATTTTTGTTAAATTGAAGGGGCTTAACCACAGGTAGCCCAAGCTCACTATGAGTGCCCTGAACGACATTATCCTACTTAGCTAATTAATTATTCATGCAGCAAGAAAATTATAAGACGCTGTATGGAGAAATGTTCTTTGCTCACTAAATTAGCAAAATGTACATTGAATATCGCTTTAAAGCTTACCTTTAGCGTCTTCTTGTTTTTCTTTGTATTCTGACTGCATTTCAGACCTCCTAGGCACTGTTTAAGGCCTTTTTTGGAGCGACAGTTTTTCACCCAGATGACAGTAGAGAGAAGAGAAGAGAAGGTTGGCAAATCTCTCTTGACTGGCTCCGCTCTCGGCGGCGATAAATTCCGTGACATTTGCGACATGGAGACAATTCCGCCAGAAACAGATGTCCTGATAAATAACGCACATTTTCCATCATTCACATCGCCAAAATTCCCATTTCGAAGGTCCTAAATCGCCAACGAAGTGGGCAATACACGGCTGAGGTGAGGCGAGTCGAGAGCAGACCCGCAACGGACTCCAACCGTCACGTCGACAATTCAAACCGACGCGGGCTGGCAGGGTCAAATTGTTCAACCGTCAAAGGACAATTGGAGCATTTAGCCTACTGGGCACAGTAACTGATTTTTCACTTCTCACATTGCACTCCGGGGTCGCGGAAGTCAAGCATCGCGTGTGATAGTGACATGTAATATCAAAACATGTCGCGTTGTTAATGTTTTGATCTCTACTCTTCTTTTTAAAAAGCGTTTGACAATGGTTTTTTATGTATGATTTAGAAAAAAATTTTGCAATAAGAATTACTACGGCTGTAAACAGTTGTTAGCTATTTTTCCTCCCTTTTTCAACAAGTGGCAGTAAGTAGCAAGTTTGGGGACAGGATCTTCCGGCAGGTGCTCTTATCTAAATGGGAGTGTTTTTACGGAAAGGAAATATGTAAATAAATATTTCATTGAATTCTGCCACATTAGCTACACCGATTTCAAGATCAAATTATACATCAGCTGCTTACAGCGCAAGCAAAGTATTTCTGAAATATGAATTCCAAATGTAGTAGCTATTTTTGTATTGATTGGATTTCTTGACGCTACTATTAATCATGGCTTAAAGGTAGCGTCAAGAAATAGATAAGAGCACCTGCCGGAAGATCCTGTCCCCAAACTTGCTACTTACTGCCACTTATTGAAAAAGGGAAGAAAAATAGCTAACAATTGTTTACAGCCCTAGTAATTCTTATTGCAATATTTTTTCTAAATCACGCATAAAAAACCATTGTCAAACGCTTTTTAAAAAGAAGAGTAGAGATCAACCAAATGCAACAACGCGACATGTTTTGATATTACATGTCACTATCACACGAGATGCTTGACTTCCGCGACCCCGGAGTGCAATGTGAGAAGTGAAAAATCAGTTACTGTGCCCAGTAGGCTAAATGCTCCAATTGTCCTTTGACGGTTGAACAATTTGACCCTGCCAGCCCGCGTCGGTTTGAATTGTCGACGTGACGGTTGGAGTCCGTTGCGGGTCTGCTCTCGACACGCCTCACCTCAGCCGTGTATTGCCCACTTCGTTGGCGATTTAGGACCTTCGAAATGGGAATTTTGGCGATGTGAATGATGGAAAATGTGCGTTATTTATCAGGACATCTGTTTCTGGCGGAATTGTCTCCATGTCGCAAATGTCACGGAATTTATCGCCGCCGAGAGCGGAGCCGGTCAAGAGAGGTTTGCCAACCTTCTCTTCTCTTCTCTCTACTGTCATCTGGGTGAAAAACTGTCGCTCCAAAAAAGGCCTTAAACAGTGCCTAGGAGGTCTGAAATGCAGTCAGAATACAAAGAAAAACAAGAAGACGCTAAAGGTAAGCTTCAAAGCGATATTCAATGTACATTTTGCTAATTTAGTGAGCAAAGAACATTTCTCCATACAACGTCTTATAATTTTCTTGCTGTATGAATAATTAATTAGCTAAGTAGGATAATGTCGTTCAGGGCACTCATAGTGAGCTTGGGCTACCTGTGGCTTAACGTCGTCCGCATACAGAATGTGATCACTTCTGGCTCGATTTCCAACCGCCGCTCTGCTAGTAATATGCAATGGCTTTGATTGACAGGTTGACTTACAAAGTTGGAGCGCCTATACCCATAACTGGTGTGCAATTTGGAATGAGAGTCGAATTTGGATACGACTGTCTTATACCAGCAGATTTCAATAACGACGTGAGTTACAATGCACGATTTGCAAAGTAAAGCCATTTTACGTTAATTTATACAAAGGTAGACTTATACTAAACCGTAGTGTGCTTCGTTTAGTTTCAATATACCTACAACTGACTGTGAGCAGTCTTCACAGTAGACAAGTCCACAAGACCGACGGTTTATCCCTTGTCATGCTGACAAAGATGCTTTGATTTTGCGAAAACTGGAAGATGTTTAAAAGACACTGAACTCTTAAAAAACATCTCAATTTTTCCATGCTGACGCAAGTCTAAGAAGATATCTTATAATAAGGTTTATATGGATCTTCGTAGAACGCTTGTCAAAAACTCCGTATGATTTGTTTGCCATGTGAAAACCAGCAATTAAAAAAATCTGTTTCCTTAAAATGCGATTGGAATAAAGTAGTTGAGCAAGCACTCCTACAAAAATATTAATTCATTTTATAATATCAAGTAATAAATAAAATGTATATTATTTCCAGGGCCATTGTTTCGGTGGTGAAGGATACTTTGGTGTCGGAGATCCAGAGTTCTTTTATGCTAGTATAACAGCTCTCACATTTGGGAAGATCTTCAGATTGCTGGGAGCAACTTTTGAGCTTCCACCTCCAATAGCAGCTACCGGCTTTCCACAAGGGGCGACTGTAAGCTGGATATTAGAGACCTTTGGATTCCAGGACGAGGACGATTACGAGAACGAAATTTAAAGGGGCTGTGTCACGACAGTCCAGTTCATTTTGTTTAATTTTGCCAATTACTCGCCCTCAATCGGTATGGAACTTAAAGTAAGCAAGGAAATTACATGGAAATGACAAAATCAGAGATTCGAGACAAACAAATATGTCTCCTGAGCATTATTTTTGAAGCTGCAAACAGCAGAGATCAACTTTGAAAAGCTGTTAGGCTGAACAGTTTTCAAAAACCCTCATTTCAATCCGTTTCAATCTTCTTCAGTTTTGTCTATCCGTGGCATCTGTTCTATCTGTTGTGTTATTTTAACCTTTCTTTAATATTTTACGCGGTTATTTTTATATTTCTTTTAATTTAACGAGCATTTTGCAATAACCTGATTTGGCTGAATTTCGTGACACAGCTCCTTTAAATTTGACCTCCACTTTTTTTTGCGTATTCCGAGAAAACAGAAATATTGGAAAGATTCCTTTTCCTTTTTTTTCACTACCGCAAACGTTAACACGGTTTTTATTATCACTGAAAGTAAAGCCCTCTCTCGATCGCAAAATGATAATGATAATGATGATGGGAAAATCTCGCGTTTTCGCAGTTGTCCTCATATTAGAATGTGATGGTCTTTAGTAGTACTCTTCTTCTTGCTTTGAATCTGAGTGGGGCCATATTACCCTTTCTGACAGTGACATGAAGCCATTTTATTTAAATTTGTTTAATTTGTTGTCTTCCGAATTATATCTGAACTGTATTGACTAAGCTTTGATGTTATTTTTTAACATCACGAAATCGGAGATGGTGTATCCAAGAAAGTGGCTGTTTAATTTTAGGAGTCAAAAGGTTAAAACAGTCTTCTACTTTGCCTTGAAAGTAACTTGTGTTACACTGATAAATAGCAATTTTCTTTCCCAATTACGGACTTCAAATTTTTCTGTTAGGTTGCGAAATCTTCGGCCGACGTTGATCTCCGAATAGCGGGTGGCCCGTTTATCTTCGAAGGTTTCTATATGAAAGGAGAGGTTAACATTCTGGGTTGGGGAATTTTTGCAGAAATCAGGTTATCAAAAACGGTAAGTAACCAACAATACTCGACTTTTATGAAATGCCTTCCCACAATCACCGCGTAGTCAACTTAGTTGGATGCCCGCCCGTCTCGCTGTCGAGCAGAAAGGGACGGGCTCGACTGAACCCAGGGCGGACCCCTAACAAGGGTCTTAAAAAACCTGGTAAGATTAGTGATAGCCATGATTCATGCCCTTGTCTCACTTCAGATGATCGCGTCATTGGGCTTTGTCTCTTCATCCTTCCTTGTCAATTCGAAGGGAACTTGGGAGAACCCTCTTGTTTGTTCGAAACGTGCAGGGAATGTAGACCTCGGTGTTGTCGTCTATGCGTTTTATCTCCAAGCAATACTTAAATTGGAGCCAAACTCTGATGTTTGTATTGCCTTACAACGCCGATGAAATTTTCAAAGAAACTCTTAATGTACATTTAATAATGTATTATGTGTACCAAAGGTTAATACGTACCAAATGAAACATCGTATTTGCCCCTACCAATGAGTAGTAGCTACGGGACTCGCCTCTCTACGTTCTTTGCCGAGCTATAAATTTACAGACCTTTATTGTTATTTGTCACTCTGGACCGGTGCTGTGGCTGCTTCCGGCGGTATTCAGTACGTGCGTCCTCTAAAAACACGGTTGGGTGTTGTAAAGCTGATTCTAGTAGTTTTCAGGACGGTTATGCATTTTTGCAGCTCTCCATGACTAATTCCTAGACACGCGACTTGAGCGAGGGAATGGGAGGCTTAAGCAACGACGACGGCGACGGAAACGAGAACGGCAAAGTAGTAGGTTTAGACAAGCAAAAGAACAACTTTGTACGTGCATCACGCTTTTTTTACGCTGCTTTGCCCTCACTGTACGACTATGACGTGAAACTTCCTAATTTCACGTTCTTTTGAAGACCTAAACACAAGACAACAATTTTCTTTTTCCCCTAGCTTTTATAAACTTAGATACAATCCTTTAAAATTCAACTTCTAAAAAATCGCCAAACTTTGACAAATTAAACGAGTCGGAATTACAGGGATGATGTTTAAAACAGCGTGAATCCTTTTATTTTATGGGTGGAGTGACGTTTTGGCTACCGTTGCCTTCGTCGTTGCTTAAGCTTCCCAATGTCATAGGCGTTCAAACCCCCCTCCCAGACAAAGACCTCTACCCCAATCACATTGTAAGGGTAATTAGAACTTTTTCTTCTTTTTCCTCTTAAGATAATTTTTGTGGACTTAAAGCCTGACCCAGTGGACATTTTAGGTATTGCTAAAATTACCCGAAGCCCAAGCGACTCTTCACTGGGACCATGGTTCTATGTCAATGCCAGGCGGGATATATTTTACGTTGAGGTAAGTTGACAGGAGTTGACGTAAACGTTTACAGGTCGTTTAATTGACGAACCATGAAATTTACGGGGTTTTTTTACGTTCATTAGTACAAATCCAAACAAATCCTCCAAACTCCTCTTAGTTTAATTAGTTATCAATCTTTCCCTAGGTTAAAATATTATTTTCTTTTATTTCAAAGAAAAAATTGAAGCACAACCCGTTCATACTTTATTGGGCAAGACATAATATGCATACAAAATAAAAAAGTGGGCAGTAAAGGTATTATAATACCTTTAAATGACGAACGTCTTTAACACTTCTAAAGAAACGAAGGTGGAAACAGGAAAAAATGTGAGCATTCGGTCCATCGGACTAACACCCATACTGGTTAGCTACAGGGAATTTGCTTTTGTTTTGTTTTTGTTTTTTTTTATCAATGAACTAAGACTTACCACTTCCACTTTCACAATTTGCCCTTAACACTGGAGATTCAGTGCTTTGGAATAATATCCTGGTTAATCATAACTATAACAAAATTGTCAAATCTGATTGGCTATCAACTGCCCTGATTTCAGCCTTAATTGGACAGTTTTATTGGACAGTACGCGTCATGCCTAAGTAATTGGACAGTGCGCGCCATCACGCGCGCGCTTAAATGGCTTTTTTTCTCGCTGGTAGCAAAACAAAATTTCGAATTTCTTGTGTTTTGATTTAAAAAATAGCTTATAATATCACAAATTTTGTTAAAGTTATCATTAATTGGTAACAGAACTTCGTGTCGTCCAATTCGGTCTGTAATCATACTCGTGATTAAACAAATCGGACTCCCGCTACGCGGTCGTCCGATTTTGTTAATCACGAGTATGATTACAGACCGAATTGGACTCCACTCAGTCCTGTTACCATTACTAATTTTCGTGGTTTAAAAACGATTAGCAATACTACCCTGGGTAAACCTTTTAAGAACTGTCCAATCTTGTCAGCTTGAGGTACCAAAAAAAAAAAGGGAAAGAAAGAAAAGAAAAACGGAGAGAAAGGCGTTCGTTGATATGCGTATGCCTGATGTAGTAAGCTTATTAAGAAGTTTCAAATATTAAAGTCTCTAAATTAACAATTTTAAGCAATTTGTAAACAGGCCAGGGGCAGCAGATATTCAGTTAAAAGGGTTCCTATTTTGTTTGCTAATGACCGTTTTTTTTTCAATCAGGCGTACTTTGAGGGGTATACGGAGCTGCTTGGAATCTCAACCTATTGCCGTTTGAACCTTACAATGTCCAGAATGGAGCTGCTGATTCAAGGAAACTTTCTTGGGATTATAAAAGCTGAGGTGTTCCTCACGGCTTCTTACAGTTTAACCTTCGCTTCTTCCCAGTTCTACGTGAAGGTTACCGTGGACTTGTCTGGAATAAATGACGTAAGAAGAAAGCTCTTTCTTCTTTAACTTAGCTGTCATGGCTTGAGAAGGTTTATAGGAAAAAACGGTTGTACTGAAGCCGTGATATGCATCACTGGTGTACGTCTGTGAACCTTTAAATTTATTGATTCTGCTGCGTTCGGAATATACTTTTAACCAATCAGAAGCACTTCCCATATCTGGTTAGTAACTCGTTATTAGCGGAGCTCCACGCGCGCGCGAAGCGCGCACGTGGGCGGAGCCCCATAGCTAAGGAAATCTACCCATCCCAGAAAATTTGGTAATCACGTGACCGACCGACCGACCGACCGACCGTCCGTCCGCACCACAGGAATACCAATGTTTACTCTCACACTTTCTAGCTACTATGGGAGCCCAGGAGAAAGCTGATTGCATATCAATGTTGTCATCAATTGACAGCTGTCAAAACAGGGTATCCGCTGACCACTATCACCGAATCGCGGGCTCAGGTGTCGACCCATCGAGGTCGAGTATTTTTTTGAAGGACAATTTACTCGTTTTCAAATGATCGCAGGCTCACGTTTACTTTTGTTTTAAATTCATATCAAATATGTTGTGTTTATGTCAGTATCGCCCAGCGCTATTACGATTTTTATTTCAAACTGACCTCAGAGGCAAAAATTCAGCCAGTTTTTTTAAAATACAGGCGGGGAAGACCTTTTCTTACCATGGTCACGTGTTGGTCACGCTCCACGTCCAATTTTTATGCTCTGATTGGTTAAAATTTGACAGGTGAGTTCATGCGTAAAATTTATGCAGCATCTTGAAAGTTGTTTACTTTGACAGCTGAAGCTGACAGAGTTTTGAGTCAACTTGTGATTTTTTTTTTCCACTGGATGTACAAAATGAAATACAGCTGCTATCAAGAGTGTTCTCTTATTCATGGCTGGTTTGTTTATTGGGTTTTTGGTTGAAAAATGCGTCGCTTGTCAAAGCCGATAATCCGATTTATTTCGGATGGCATCGTTTTTGTTTTTCACCTTGCTGGATGCGTACGAGAATTATAAAGGCTCAAGCGATCCTTGCCTTACTTGATAGCTTTCAGGAGCTGCATCACGAAATATGGTAAGCCTGAATAATTATTGTATTTAAATCTAATTTCATGAAGTCCAGCTGCGCAGTTTATGAAGCTAGTTTATGCACGTTTGTATTAAGATTTGACTGAGACACTGATCTGACCTAGTGTGAGGTTTGATATAAGCTTAAGCTTACAGAACTTTAAAAAGCCTTTAGTCGATATTAATTCACCTTAAATAGAAAGAAAAAACTTTCCGAAGAATATTTAGTTATAATTTTGGCGGTAGAAAGAAAGCTTTGAACGATTTTCTTTTCGTGAGTTCATCTTTGAAAACAGCCAACACCGGGAAACCGGCGGCTTAAAACAAACTTTAAGCTTACTGGTAAAGACTTGAGGATTCTTAGACACACTTAAATACTCATTTGTTTTCGTGAATGAAAATTGTTGTCTCTGTAAATGTTCTATCGAATTATTTTTCTTTATTGATTTTTGGTAGTCTTAAAAGTGTAATTATCATCGCTTTGCCGTTTGTTTTCAGGCGTTCATAAACGTCGCTCGCAGGAGTACTCAAAATGCCAAGCGTATCAAACGCTTTTTAAGATTAATTAATAAAAAATAGACTCAATAAATTCTTTATCACGTTGAAGCGTAACTCTTTTAAAATTTCTTCGCAAATTTGGCGCTTGTCAAAAGTTAGAACCGGCTGGCCGTATAGGTGATTTTGGAAATTTTTTGAACGGTTTCGCTAATTAAAAGTCCACGCGTGCCTCGATGGTCCTGAATATTGAATGAATGCAATTTGTCTTGAAAAATTGTGAAATACTAAATTTTGTACAAGGTCTGTATGATAAAAACAGCGCCTCATAGTACTCTTTCTCCTCAGATGTGGTGTATAAAAAATAAAAGATTGGTTTGCACGCACCCAGATTTATTGGCAAGAATTTGTAAAGTTGTCGAACGCAAAAAATTCGGTCTGATTTGTTTTCCAAGAATTTGTTTTGCACGCCTTATCTACTGTGATCAAGAGCCATCATTGCTCTTAAATGCGACCGAAGACTATATTTTGGGTGTACATATAAGGCTATATCAACTCGATACAAGATTTGTTTCACTCCAAAATCACTTAGCTTTTCCCTCAAAAGTCACCTGAATGTGCCCTTAAGTTAACTGATTCTTGGAATACAAAACTATTGTTTGATTTAAGTTATAAATTTATCAATGGGAGCTTCGCTTTTAGCCGTGGCTAAATCTATATATTAGTATATATGGAGTTTCTGCGCTCGTTGCTCGGGCGTCATTTCGCAGGGAAACTGCGATCAGGCTTTCTCATTTTTCGGGGAAGAGCGGTGGCTAGAGAAAAAGGGAGGAAGGACCACCTGATCGCAGGTTACTGGGAAACCGAAGTGGTGGCGTCGCGAAATGTCGGCTGTTTTCCCAGGCTAACGGGTGAGTTGTTAGTCTGATTTTTACGTCTAATGTCGCTTTAATTTTGACTGCACCCGTCTGGGTAGAAAGAACCCAAATATAGAACAATTCGTAAGTACGGCAATGGTCCAATTAAGATTAGTTAATTCACCATCACATTTCTATCAATACCAGTAGTAACTAACTCAAGTGTCGTTCGACACTTCTCCGAGGTAAATCCTTGTTTCTTTTTTTCCTTCTTTTTTGTAGGCTTTAGACGCTGCTGCAAAGGCAGTCAGAGCTGCTTTCGATGCAGCGGAGAAAGAATTGAGGGAAGCGAGAGAATCAGTTGTCAAAGCGAAAGAGGACTGCAAAAGAAAGATGTCACTCAAGTGTGATAACTGTAAAAATCTCAAATGCAAACAAGCGGAGAAAGACTGTAAAGGTTTCTTGGACGCTGCTGGCAAGTGGATTACCAAAAACGTCTTAGCTCCGGTAAATTTTCGATAATAGTTTGTGTGATATTTTCATCATGTTGGCCTCTATGTTGCAGATGTGACAACTATCATGTGTATTCACGAATACAGTAAAGTCCCTCGCTTGAGCGCACCCCTTGGGACCTCGACTTAATCTCCCTAGTAACTAGCTTACTTAATAGTGGCGCGAAAAGATGTTCTTTTGCGCTATAGGGGTAGCATGTATGTTTATTTTGGTGGGCAGTTTCCCAGAAATTTATAATGATCCCATTTGTGTCAGGACGAACTTTTTCATGGAAGCGAGATTGGAAGAAGGCAGAAGAAAAAGGGAATTTTATAAATAAGTAACAAAGAAGTCTAAATCCAAAGAAAAGACATTCAGGCAACAGGGGCACGCCCCTGAAAGGCGCAGATAGAGTTTGGTTGTGTCTAATGTTCAATAATGCCCGCTCTCTTTTTTTTTGGGGGGGGGGGGGCTTAACCAAAGAGTCCCTAACCCATAATAGGAAGCGTCTTGTTACTGGAGTATGTTTCATTCAAAATTATGTACTTTTTACCGAGATTTTTTAAAAATATGAGTAAAAACTAAAAATTCACTTATGCGCGAATCTTGACCAAAATACTATGTCAAAAACAATATCTCACGAGTGAGATATCCTCTCGACACCTTGCACCATCATTTATATAGTTGTCGCGTGCATGCTTCGTTGTTTAAACGTACTTCTGCTAAGCGTCGTACATGTAGCTCCAGCCCTTGCATCTCAACTGACATTTTCACGTATTTTTAAAGATTGTTTCGTTTTTTTCTCGGCCTCAAATGTGTTTAGGTCGGAAAAGTCGTCAAGAAAGTTTTCAAGGGCTGGAAGAGGAAGCGCGGACTCGACAAACTACGCAACGACAATTTTGCCCATCATCTTCGGCGGCGTCGTTTTGTCAGTAAATTAATCTGTGAAGGAATTGTTGGAGGATCTTGCGCAGGTTAGTAATGTTTCCTTTAAAAAAAAATTAGCAGACTGCTTGCCGTCCGCCTTTTTTCTTAGAATCCGTTCAGTTCTTATCCCAGCTTGGGACGTTACAATATGGGATTAGGACGCTCGCGTGCATAGGTTACGCGTGGAGTAACTTTGGAAAGAAAAATAATAGACAGTTGCAGCCAAAAAAATTAATGTTTGTAGCGACAGCCACTGTAAGTGTACTTTTGTTTGGGAGAATGCAATGTGAGATTATTGATCTCAAATTCTTTGGACTCGTTAAGACGAAAGAAACGAAAATTCGGAAACAGTGAGCAGAGAGGTCTTACGCTTCGCTTTCACGACATAAAAATCAATCCGACATTTGTCCCGGGTGGCGGGAACGCCCCACTCACTGGAAGCTGGAAGGATGCCTTATTAAACAGTCACAAGAAGCATGAAATCACTTATTTTTTCGGAATTAAAGGTTTTGATTGCCAAGACAAAAAACTGCAAGGACTGGAATGCCGATAGCTGGGAGACTCGATGCAGCAAATAAAATTATTCACCAGAGTCAAGACTTACTATTTTTGTGCATAGTCAGATCAAGAGGGAACCGTGGAGGATATTTTCGCTAAAGTTATCTCGTTAATATAGAATTTTGAAAAAAACAAATGCTGAAAAAGTTGTTTAATTCTTCCACATTTCAATTTTTGGGCGAAAGTTTGTACTTACTACGACTCGTGCAAGGTATTCATCTCTCCTGTTGGAAAATTAGGCTGCAGGCTTTCAAACGGTATGGTGTAAGATTTGATGGCTTGTTCTTGATAACAATACATATGGGACACCCGTGTTTGTTTTCAGGCATCGCTCATCTTTGTGAAGGAACGTGTAAGTTTGTAGAAGCTATCGGCAAAGGTCTCTGCAATGTTCTGGATGTGGCGGTTGGTTTCTTGTACTTAACCGAAAAGGCGACTGCGTGGGTGGGTGCCGCAATCAACTTCCTCCTCACCGCTTTCAGGGTACACAGGTAGATGTATCAAGATTTTTTCTTATGACTTCCTTCCTCTTTAGAGCATTAGATTATTTTGGTTTCCGTTTTTATATGCCCACTACAGTGGTACCTCTGCTTTTGGAACACCTCTCTTTAAGAGACACCTCCATCCATTCAGGGAACACGTTTGGTCTCGGTAAAACGTCCTCTCTTATACGCTTAATAGACACGTCCATTTAGGGGAAAAGAACACTTTGTCTGGGTACCGTAATCCCGCTTTAAGTTCCTGTAAAGGAACATCAAAGATTTAACGTGCCCCGGTTCCTTGGGTGTCCCGTAAATATATCCCTCTTTTTCTACTTCTGCACGACAGCCTCTGTCCTTGTACGCCCAACATCACGTAGCATCGGCTTTCTCTACTTTCATTAGAAAAAACTTTACGACTGGTAGTGCATAGCAACATAACAAAGATATAAAGTCTAAAAGCGGCGCTCTCATAGGCGGTGTATCAGACATCAAAAGGAGGGTTGTACAGTCACGTGATACCATTTTTTTTTAAACTCACGGTGCTCCACGTGCGGTCGCTGATAAGACATGACTTAAATTTAGGAAATACCCTCCTTTGTAGGGCTGAAAGAGGCAACACAGAAAAGTTACCAGGGGTTAATGAACAACCACTTTTACTTGTTAACTGTGATAATTAAAATTTAGGTAACAGTTAGCCTTTCAATCAAGATTCGAAGCTGTGAGAAGTTTTAACGATTTTTCTACCATGACCATATCATCAGTAGTTCCCCATTAGGAAACGTTCAATGCTTAGTTGGAACAGTAGTGTGGCCAACGGCTTCGAAAAGATGATGATCTCACTAGTTTTGGACACCCTGGTCAGTAGTCTAGCTGGAGTTCGAGCCTGGTGCTCACTCAGCAAACCTGCAGTTTACCAACAGTTCTTTATGTCCCAATAGCATCGTCATTGAGTTTGGCTTGGCAGCATACGCTGGTGGAGGCTTCCCAGACGTGACTTTTGCCGCGGGTGTAGATATGACCATATTTGGAAAAAACCTTTACCTCTCCATCGCTCTAAAACTGAGCAGCCGGCAGTCAATTATAGACAGTCTTTTAACGGGATCGGATAGTGCCACTAGTTGGTACAAGGACAAGATGAACAAAGAGAATCCAACAGACACTTCAGAGAACTATTACGATAAGCCGAACCCTGCTGTTGACTTCCAGCTTTCAGGTAATATTTCGGACACCATAATGGATGTTTTATAAAATATTCAAACATCAAATGGATTAAAAACAAACAAACGAGGCACTGCCAAGGTTTTAAATTGAACTGCAGGTGTTTCTTAGTGGTAATGCAGGATTCGACAGAGATTTTCTTTGTTTTCTTTTCATAAATGACTGAGGTTTTAGAAGTACAACTTCAACAGTATAGCATAATGTATGCATGGCTGGTGGAACTGCTGGCGCTGCCTTCAGAAGAGAAATAGTTTACAATAAGCAAACTTAAATGTACGAAGCACCTTTTTATAAGTGCATAAGCGAAACAATGTAGGCTACATTCAGTATTTATAATGACCTGTAGATACAACACCCAATGATGGATTACGGTTACGATTTCTAATCATTCTGATCCTAGAACGTTCACTCCACTGTCGAGAAAGAGATTTTGGAGTTGCTACTTTCAGGTGTACAATCTAAAACACGCATTAGGAGAAACCTATTTCTCCGTAGTTTTGTAAAATTGATGACTCTAAAGTTAAGGGACTCAAAGAAGTATATTGCTCATGTCTCCATTTCTAAACGACCGACCTCTTTCAACTTTTAAGAACACTTCATGATTGAGAATCAACAGTCAGCCACAGACGACAGATATGGACCTTGTCTTTATGTGGACATCAAAACAGAAGGTAGCTACATTAAAGTGACGGGATGCAATGACACGGACGATAGACAGACCTGGTATTATACACCGAAAGGGCAAATTAAGGTAGGAAATTTCTTGCCGAAAAATACGTCTGCTAAAAAGGCTGTAGGTTAAGTTAGAGCTCCTTCTGAGCAGAGCTTTTATTTCGCGTGCTTGATTTTGGCGTATCTGCGTGAATCGAGTAAGATCTTCGTTGTGCATGAAATGAATGTTGATAGGATACAGTTTCGAACCCAGGCCTAATAACCGTGCGTTTGGTACAGCGGTCTCAGTTATAAAAATCGTTTTATCACTGAATAAAAAGATGCACGCACTCGAAAAACTACTAGTTTGACAGGAGAAATCAAGATTGAGTAGTCCAGAGGTATGGGCTGCGGCGACTTCAATGGCTTGAGTCAATTCAGTCAGAACTGAAAAAAATAAAGAAGGCTGTGCTAGTCGGATGTTAAGCCTGAGTAAATTTTGCTGCTGGGAAATGAGCGTAACATTCTAAATCCTTAAAGGTGTCTCCATTTGTCGTTGCTTCGTAGAATTTGTATTCGGAGTTGTGTATTGACACGAACGGAGCATCCCAAGGCTCCAAGTTGATCCAAAGCAGATGTGACCATAGGCAAGATGATCAGAATTTCCAGTGTGATCTTGCAGTTAGGTCCATCAAAAGACGAAGAGCTGATATGTGCTGGACTCTAGGTCAGTGTTTATTTAGCTATTTGCAGTTCGCATCCAAAATTTTCCCCTGTTTCTTTTGGCTATCATCCTTTTCTATGTTCAAGAACAAAAAAGATTTATATTTTGAAACATACTAGGTTAGTGAAACTGTTTTGTACGATCACGATACCACTGCTAAATACTCATTAATCAATCTATTCATTTATTTATGGACATTTTAATTAAATAATACTATACTGTTGATATAATATAATGTGTTATATACTGTATATACTTTATCAAGAATTTATTTATTTGATTTATTTTCTTGTACTCAATATGCTTTTTGGTTTGTTTTTTGTTTTGTTTTTTTGTTTCTAGTAGCATTAATATTTCTTTCTCTTTTTTCACCTTCCCCCGCCTCGATCAGATTTTTCTATTTGCGGGGGAACATTAAACATTAAACTCTGTTGTATTGTTGATGCGTTGCTAATAAAGTTTGTTGTTGTTGTTGTTGTCGCAGTTTTCATAACAACGTCTAAACCTCGTATTTTTGATTGTTTAGGATCAACAAGTGTGAATGGACCAGGCTCCTTGGTTCACTTTGGTTCCTTAAAATGCATCCGTCCAGTTGGAGGAGGTGACAGTGTATCTGATGGAGAAAGAATGGAACTTTATTCTAGTTGTAATATGGACCGGTACGTAAACCCTACACCCTATTAATGTTTATTTTTTTAAAAAAAGGGAGAGTCTTGGGATTTTCAAACACTGAGTATTAGAACGAGTTGAAGCGGTTATTGTATCCTCCAAAACTATGGGCGAATCTTTGTTGACATTTTATGCCTACTAAAAGTCTGCTTATCATTGTCTGACCAAGCTATGAAAATAACAACTCTCAAAATTAATTAATTATCTCTTAAATCAAGATTCTGATATTACGAATGGTTTTGGAAAAATTTTACAAAGAAGGTATGAGCGTGAGTTTTTCTACCCAGCAATTTTGTAGTTTTTGATTGCTGCCATTTCCTTTGTTACTGCTTTCAAAGAGCTTAAAATTGCTTAACCATGCCAGCTTCTTCAACTTTTGATCCTATCATGTATGTACGACGACGCCTTCTATACGCCACTTGCAAATCTCCCATAATGCACCTTATTTGCCCGCCAAAATTTTGCCTAACCTTTGTTTTTTATTTCTCCTGGGTATTACAGCCATCCCAAGAGAATTCGAATTGAAAATTGGAAGTAGTGGGCACAAAAAAGAACGGGGCGCGCTAGGGAGACACGCGAGGAAAGAGGGAGCGCCTGCCCGAGAGGCCCATGAAAATCGTTTCAACTCGCTTTCCGAGAATGCGGAAATTTTCTATTGGTTGAGAGTCTGTTAAGGGGATAAGTATTCGCGTTAGGCGTGAAAAACTGTGAATCAAAGAAAACACGAGATCGCTGGTAAACATGTAATACATGGATAAGGTACAATATTATATTACACCACTAAATGGCATAATAAAAGTTCAGATCTTGGAGGTCACTTCAATATGGTTCAGTGGGACTATGTGGCTGTAATCTAAAAGAAAAGTTGGAGTGTTCCAGCGGTATTTACGAAGGAAAGATTTGACGGGCACCAAGGACGCATTAGTAGGAGTAGCGACAGACAAAAGATCTGTCGAATCGTTGAAAAGAAGATCAGAGGCAATAATATTCTTTGCTAATAGAGAACGGAACGCATGCCATCAAAACCTGGACAGGATTGATGAAATGATACATATACCGGGGGCATTAATTTGGAAAACCTTTCGCTATTGTTATTATTTGTTCGAAGGCGACTGACGTTTAGATATCGCTTCTGCAGCCTTTAAAAACGTCTCGGTACAGTTTGTCCGCTTAAAGTTAAAGTCCTGCTTAGTAAGACAAGTCTGCTTCAAAAACGACTGCTATATTGCGCAGCAAAAGCAATGCTCCTTTTTCACGTACGCTGCGATCTTCGGTGTCTGTGCAGTTGTGACTCTGTAATCTGAGAGAATAATATTTAACTTTTTATAATACACAGCCTGCATTATTTGAGAAATACCCATTTTTGACCCTGTTCTTCGTATTAAGTGTGCCCGTGGTAAAAAAAAAAATTAAAGCTGTGTGTTAACAGTCGGTTTATTGCTCCATCGCTCTATCATCAGATAGCCCACTAGCTGATCTTTATAACAGATATATTAAGACCTAGGATATAAATGTACAACGCTTCTTGGCTGAACGATTTGTTTGTGCGAGGTCAATCGGGCCTCTCGGGCAGGCGCTCCCTCTCCCCTCGCGTGTCTCCCTCTCGCGCGCCCTTTCTTTCTTGAGCCCAAATACTTCCAAGCGCCTGCTACGCAGGCTATTGTAAACAATGCTTGTGCAAAATTTTGGGTGGCAAATAAGGTGCATTATGGGAGATGTGCAAGTGGCGTATAGTTTTTGTTTTAGAACCGTGCAATTTGAAGCTAGGGCCGCGATGCATCAAGCTACTAACACGCAGGCCTGACACGAGCCACTTCATTCTTTGTAAACAAACGTTTCTCCAAAATTGAAAAATTTCAAATTGTTTCATACCCCTATCAGAGTGGAGTTTAAATTAGACAGTGGTAGCTGGATCCACACCAAGAGTGGAAAATGCGTGCAGCCAGTGGCAGCAGTAACTGATGGCGTTCCACTTGGTTTGTACTCGTCATGTGGCGGTCATCAGTTTAGTTTTACAACTGGAGGATCATTGCAGCACGTGGGTAGTAAGAAATGCGTCAATACTAAATCAGGGGTGAGTTTTAGTCTTGAAAGCGCAATTTGAAGAACCTTAAAAGAATCGCAATTGTTTATTATCGAATGTATCCATTAGAACGAAATTTATCGTATGATTGCTTGGTTTATCGTTTGTCTTACAGTAATCAATAATTGATATTGATTACGTACGCACAGGGACGTCAGTTGATAGCATCTGTTAGCTGTGCGGGACTATTAGAAGCACCGTGGCTGTTTCTGAATGGTGTATTACAATCCACACTAATGGTTGCCGTTGGTTGAATTCGGTTATTCTTCATTCTTGAAATTGTTCCCTGTAGCTCAGCGTTCATCAGTGGTAGTGATCGACTGTTGTCTTGATCCATTCTCGACCCCAGGGCTTACGGGTTTGGGAATGCGCGCGTGAGCTCTGGAAAACTCTGCGCCGGAGTAGCCAAACTCTGGCTATTTGGGCCTCATAGCGCATGCTATTTAATCAAACCAAAACTTTTTGCTTCTTTTATATCTACTTCATCCCGAACGTCTTGTGCCGCTTCGGTATTAGAACTGAAGAAATTCAGTTAACGGGCCCTGAAGAATTTTCAGGTATCCAAGGCTCTTGTGGTAGTTGCTTAGAAAATACCATTAAACGTTCCCAATCACAGAGTTTGCATATGCTTGACATTTGATTAAATATTTCTGTGGACTACTTCACGAGGCGGTAAGTGAAACCCGAATGGCTTGTTAAGATAAACGTATCGAAATTCCAATAAAACTTTCCAAAATATGAATTTAGCGTCCTTTTATTTACGTTTGTTCGTGAACATTAACACTTCAGCGAAGCTGCTTTGAAATGCGATATCGTGGGAAAAGAAGACAACTACAAATATCTAGTCGCATCGTACACACATCACTTTAGGGAACGATTTACTTTGTCGGTGTTTTTTTCCCTGTAAGTCTGTTTTTGGACAAATTACGACAAGAAGCTCAAGTTTTCATTCATACTCGGCCACTTCGTGTGAATATGATAAGTGACGTGGAAGTCAAAGAAAAATCAGTAATGAGTCATGCTTCTTAAATGATAGCTGGCAAAGATGTCGGTGTATCTTCTGATTAATTTAAGCGTGTAATTGATCCAAAAATAACTTGTTGAAATTCACAAATCCCAAGGGCGAGACTAGGCGTCTCCCTCTCTATCCCATTATTCTCTCTTGAAGTCTATTTGAGGACGCTATTAAAAAAGTTCTTATTTGGAGAACGAGTAAATAAATAGCAGTTTATGAAACGAGGCATTTCGGCATCGTTGCAAGTAACAAAAGCTAACGCTTTAACACGGAATCCACCGGGAAATTGAGAAAATGAAATGAATGTCAAATTTCACAAAATTACATCTTGCACATGAAATTTTCACAATTTTACCTGTGTTTTCAAAATTCTTGTGAAATTTGACATTCATTTTCTCGGACTCCCATGAGAAATTTCTTTGGTGTTATTACAGATGAAATAATTACATCTTTAGCCCCTGGAAAATGTAAAAAAAGAATGCAATATTCTTGAAATTATTCTGGTACAAGGCTTTTGTCCACTGAAAATTACTCAATTTCCTCGCAGATTCCGTCTTAATTTCTTTTACACGCATGTTTTAGCTTGAAGACCGATCTTGCCTTTCATAATTTGATCTTTTTAAAGCGAGCCTTTTTACGTTTCAAGTCCCTTAAACCATGTGTACGATGATTATTTTACTCTCTTACGTCACTAGGCTATGCTGGCACCAGACTTTGATGAAATTGTATTGGGTGATAACTGTGAAAACACCGACGCTTCAACCTTTGAGCAGCATTTGAAGTTCAACTTTATACCAAGTAAGACACGGAAGTAAAGTTTCACTTTATACAGATACGTTAAAGGAACCCGTTTCAATTTTTGCAGCTATAGACGGTTTGCACTTTTGTTGGATGAAGCTTTCTTCTCTCAGACACGGTAAAAATTCAGATCCAGTTGCAGATTTTAAGTCCCCATAACCCAAAAGTTTTATTTTTTTTTTTAATTAAAGTACACATTACTACGACAACCTCTGCGGAAAAACCGTCATTTGCGATTTGAACATAACGTGAATTTTTTTGAAGCGTTCAAATTTGCCGCCATTTTGACACTTCATTCGTCCAGCGTCAATATTATCCTGATGCAACATTGGCTTTTTGTTCAAGATGAAGACCCCGTTTACTACGGGTCCGAACAAAGTTTTGAAAGGGGCCGACGGAACCGTGTAAGTTTTGATCGGCAAAGTGTGCAAGATCAGAAGTAATGCCAATTTCTCTTACCGGTACGGTTCCACTTTCACGAGTACTCACCTAGGTAGTACTCACCAAGACCGTGCAAATTTTGTCACAGTTTGTGCAGTAAAATCCTGGAGCCTACGTTACTCGCCCTTGATAAAAAAAAAAGTCATTTCAATGGAAAAAATTCCTACGGACTGGTGTAAACAATGTAACAGAATTTCCACTGTTCCGTGTAAACGGGTTGCGCGAGTAAAACATTTGTCCGTTTAAGATTTGTCCTGGACCCGTGTAATTCGGGGTCTGAAGGACTCCCTAAGGCGTCCTTTAACGATCAAAAAACTTTTGTGGCTCTACCTTAAGTGAATCTCTTTGTTAGGGTTTATGTAGTGATAATACGATCGATGACTTGATCGCTGAGTGTAAATGGCCAGCTAATGACAGGTATTTTTTGGCTTATAAGTTTTAAAATCTGCGTTGTAGTTCTAAACATCCCATTGTCATTTTCTATCCAAAGCTGATCCTACTGTACGCTTGGACAAGTGCACGTATTTTAATGCTGCAACGCGAAGACTCGACCAGAGGTTTGAAGTGGTAGACGAATCTGTTGTCAGCATTTGTACCAAGTTCGACAAAAGTAAGTCAGTTTGCATTAACGGCCGCTTACTTTAAAGGTTATCTTTCCTCGTAAGCTAGTATGACGAACGTATTCAGCCCTCCTCTCTTGTATTTGCATTCCTCACCTCGAGGTCTTTAATCGACTGGTAATATAATGCTGGCTTGATTTAAGATCTTGTCTCATTTCAAGTAATGACGTCTTTCAAATTGGGCAGTAATGTTAAGTTCTTGGCCAGCTTCTTAGCTTGTCATCCCCTTGAAAGGGAGTACACTGTGACTGGCAGTGCGATTGTATATTCAAGATTTCATCTTTTGTCCACTCAACAGATCTTGCTTTAAAGAAAACGACAGCGCAATCCAGTACTGATTACAATGGCTTCAGCAGCAGGGCAGTAGATGGAAACTTAGGTCCTTATTATAGCAGTAAATCCTGCACGCACACCAAGAAAGAACAGTATCCATGGTGGAGGGTTGACCTTGGAAGGGAGTACATTGTCACAGGTGTGTGGTGTAAGGCTATGTTCACCGAACTATACTGGATAGATTTTGCGCTGGCACGAAAACCATACATTATAGGCCGGGGCTACTGTTCAACATAATAACGGTAATTTCTGCGCTATTTCTGTAAAGGGGTGAAGTTGCGCCGCGCGGATCTCTAAAGTGGAATCACAGTCACATTTCGGAAAAGTGTTCACTAGGCACGAATGCCTATGATCGGTTATAGTGTTAATTTTTAGAGACAAGCTGCGATGCACAACATAACGATGGAATTCAAATAAATGCGTAGCTGGTCTGAAAGTTAAAATAAAAAATAACCCTAGTTAATAGGGACCCTTTTTATCCTTCGCGCGGTACGATTTGTCAAGATTTCTCGCCAGATGTGGCAATGGCACTGTGTCATCTATGTTTTTTGTGTTATCCTAACCGTTTCTTTAGAGCATGAGGTAGTCTAATGCCATGGGTACAGTTTAGCCTTATCCTTGCAAGGAAGCGGTGAAGAAATAAAAAAATGACCTAGGTAACGGCGCTTACAGTTTGACAAAAGTTAATTATTTCTTACAAAAGAATTTTCACTATCAGATCATATACTAAACGACGCGAAAGACGTATGCCCGTCAGAAGATCCTATTCACAGCTGATTTTTCATGATTCAAATTCGAGTTTTTACCCAGCACGATGTTGAATGAATTGTTTGATAATTATTAAGGGCGCCGGGATATAAAATTACAATTTAAAACTAGTGTTAGTATTTTTATTAATAAAGCATAATGAGGCAAAAAATGCGTGTTTACCTTAATTTTGCGATTGTGAGTCAAAATTTATTTCTCTTTGCAGACGTGCAGATCATCAATCGTTTTGACTACTACGAGAGACTTAAGAATTTTGAAGTGAGAATTGGTGTTAACACAGATAACGTACAGAATCCCACATGTTCTGACCGAGTTACGTCCGTGGGCCAGGGAGCAGCTTTATCACTTTCTTGCGATCCACCAATCCCAGGGCGATATGTGTCAGTACAGATGTTTGGAGAAGGAATTTTGACCATGTGTGAGGTGATGGTGTACTCCAGAGTCGGTAAGTAGCTGATGTGACGCACATGGAAGAAGCAGCCGGTTTGTCAATATTTTCTGTCATGAATACCGACATAAGTTCATACCTGGAGATCTCTTGGTCTAGCTCGGACTGAAGCCTCATTGATTGACTATTGATTTTATCTGAAATATTTAACTGTTGGTACAGGGTAGAAACAGGGAAGCGTGTCAGTTTCCCAGCCTGTCAGAAAACATTTTTTTGCGGCGGAAGTATTCAATGATGGTCAATTGTATCTTTTAAGGATTGGTCCAGTGAGGATTAGACGAATCCCACGTGTTAAACTACCAGCTCAAAGGTTCCAATACAATATGAAATATATAAAAATATATGAAAGCATCCTTTGACTCTTGTTCTTCGGTAGGCAGCTCACCGTTTAAGTTGTCTCACTAGTCTGTGTCTCCTCGATCTAGGTTCCTTGGCAGACCTATGCCAGCTTGATAACGGCGGCTGTCAACAGCTTTGTTATAACCTGTGTAACCTGAAAGTTCAGTGCGGCTGCTGGCCTGGCTATACTCTCGCCTATGACTCCAAGACCTGTATGGGTAAGTGTTGATTAAGACTCAAGGCACTCGACTTTCTCAGTTTCGATTTTTACTGAACTTGAAAATGGATGCGGACCTGCAAACAAAATTTCATAACTGTGGATAAAATCCCGATATTTAGTCAGCTTCTTTTTAAATAATATGTAAGGCTAAATAATAATACAGTAGGGGTACTCTTTTCAGGTTAGCAGGTTAGCTGTGAAAGGAGGGCCTATTTTTCCTTAAACTGAATTATTTCATAATGACGCTGACCTCCAAAGTCGAAAAGATCATTTTCAAAACCCAACGCGGAAGATCTTTATTTCATCGTTAATTACTAAAAGCAAAGAGAAAGCAATTCTTTTTGGTAAAGAGAAAAGTGAATGAATTTTTAGTCATGATATTTTGTTTGTGAAAGGTTTGAACCCAGGAGTCATTTCAAAAGTAGGTTGAGTTTGATCGTCCGGGTGAACGTAGTCCTGAATAGGACTGTTGTTGTTGACAGTGACTAACGTTTCGACAACCTGTGCGGTAGTCATCTTCAGAGTCAAAGTGAGTTGTATCACGTCAGCTGATGGTATTATACTCTGGTTATTGATCTGATTGGTCAATTACGTCGCGATGTTATTGGTCGTCAGTCAGTTAAGCCGTGATGTTATTGGCGATGAAGACTCGTAATCAGTAATTGGTGCGTTTCGATCCGTCTATTGTCACAGTTAAACAGTCGTCTATTGTTAGTCAAATTGTCAGTTCTCCAGTCGTTCTCTCGTAGTTAGTTTTGCTTGATCTCGTCAATAAGTCTAACTACTATCAACGTCTTACTTTAGAAAGCTGATTTACTAACTTAGAACAAACGCCACTGAATCGTAGCCAACAGTCACCTGCGCCGTGGAAACGACTTACTTTTGACATTTTGTTTGTGACGCGATTCGCCGTTACTTGCAGTATCCAAGATTATGTGACAATATAATATTATGGTTCCGAAGCAATGGCGGTGACAATTCGAAACAGTCTTGTAGGGTAAAAAATGTTCTCTTTTAGTGGGTCTTTGGTCTTTTTCTCGCGGCCTAGAATTTCTTTCCGTTTTTAAAATTTTTAGACAAAGACGAATGTCAGTCTAACAATGGAGGTTGCGATTACGTACGTGGTTTATGTATCAATACACCTGGAAGCTACCACTGCGCATGTAAACAGGGATATGAACTCAAAGAGAACAGTGAATTCGAGTGTGAAGGTGAGAAACAGCGGCATATTTGTTCCTTGTACAATAGTTATTTTCTGGCTCCCTACACTTCACTTTGTACTACAGCAGAGCAATTATTTTTATTTAAATGGTAAATAGAAATGGTTGTCTAGCTGCTTCGAATTCAGGGTATCACCTCTTATCTAGCTCTTCTCTTGGTGCCTTGAACATTGCATATTTCTAATGTGACTTTCTTTCATTTCCCTCCTGCCATTTCCTACCTCCCGCTAAGTTGGAGCCTTTCAATCAGTTCAATAAATTTCATTTTGATCAAGCGTGCTACGACAGCACAACTTGAGTGTGTTTGCCTATTGGGGTAATTCATCCATTAAACACAAAGAAACCAAGGTGTTTTACCATCTACATATTCGGCAAACCGGTAAGTTTACGGTTTGGGTAATGGTAAGTAAAATTTAGGACTGGTAAATTTCGTCGTGGAATGGCGTTAATCATTTGTAGAAATCTTTTTCATTTACCGAAAAACTGCCACGAAGGCCTGAAACCGGCCTGAAACCGGTATCAGAGATATTGTAGCTTGAAGAAATGGAACACGAATATCCGTTTGGAACATTCCGTGTAGGACGCATCTTTCAGATGTTCCGTTGTTCCCCGAAATTTTCCATTGCAACGACTTAAAAAAAGTGTTCAGTTTGCTTTCCAACTGGATTCTCCGGAAACCTTTTTTGTGAACGCTTAACAACCTAAATTAACCCTTGCTTATACAAGTTAATTTTTTTATCTTTCAGATTTTAACGAATGCACCTTGAGTAACGCTGGATGTGAACACGTGTGTAATAACACAGGTGGAAGTTTCAACTGTGATTGCAGGGCCGGCTTCAAACTGAAACCGGACAAGAGAGGTTGCGAAGGTAACGGTGATCTAAGGTCTGATAAGGAAATACAATATGTAAACCCAAATATAGCTAAAGGAAGAAGGACCATTCATTGTCTTTTGTTTACATGCTCCATGCATGTGAGAACGCTGCATAAGGTAATTTCACGTCGTAGTCGACGAGTAGTGACAAAGAAATTTACAAGAAAGCGTGATGTGCGTGGAGAGTTGTTGTTTTGCTTATCAAACCTATTTCTGCTTTTGAAGTGCTCGTCGCCATCGTTGCTAAAGCTCCCTAATAGTGAGCAAATGTGGGGAACTCGAAAAATCTCGTTCTGTTAGTATCTGGAGTTTGGTCCTTAAAATACTTTATCTCCTTTCTTAGACATTGACGAATGTGCCGAAGCAGATAAAGGCGGCTGTGAACACACGTGTACCAACTATGAAGGTGGATATTACTGCTCCTGTAATGCCGGGTATCGATTAATGGATGATGACCAAGGATGTGAAGGTACCGAGTACATTGATAGGTTAATTCTGTCACCCAAAAGTTTGAACCATCCAGTACAGCACAAACAGAGTAGATATTGTGAGGTATGAAACCAAAACCTAAGGAAAACTCGACTGGCCAAAAATGGAGACAAAAATTGTGAAACGAGATGACAAGAATGAGGAAACCATACCTTCAAAAGGTTTAAAATGACAACTGTTACTGTCTGCGAAGAGAAGAAAGGCATGACGCTCAAGAATTGCAGAATAACTCTACGTACCAATGTGTAACTCTACAAATCAGCTTCTGCATTGTTATGTTGACTCATTTCATCATTTTCAATACGGTTACAGTTCCCTACTTTGAACAGCGTTGCCTTGCTAATTTGCGAATAAAAGTTGTGTTTGTTTGTTTGTGCGTGGCGTTTCCTTTTTTTTTTGTACTTAACGCTTTTACGTACCAATCTTTTCAAAGAAATTTACTGTCCTGCTCTGGAAGCTCCCTTCCGTGGCTCCATCACTCCCTCAAGCTGCACAGACGAGAGAGCGAACATCCGGCGTACCACGGTTTGTACCTATGGTTGTGAGACTGGACATTACGTTACAGCTGGGGATAATTCACTGACCTGTCAAATCGACGGACTTTGGCAAGGAACTGTGCCCTATTGTCAACGTAAGTATAACAGCTGCCTTGTGACAAAGGGAAAGTTGTGACGTGATTTTACCTCCCTGTTAGCAGGTTTAGGGCCTGACTACATGAGCCTGGCTGGTCCCGTTACCAAGGCTGACTTAATTTGCAGGGGCACATAAATAAAACACAGCAAAAATGCCATTCGAAATTATACGCCAATGGAGCCAGCCGGTTTAGCTGGAATCCAGGAATTGTGATGCCTTATAATTGGTCAGGAAATAGACCTTATTCACTATACCCGCCATCTTTGCACGCGCTTTAGGATTGATGGGATAAAAGCAATGTCACGTGATATTTCAGGGGACAAACAAGTGATAGCATTTGCCAGCACGAGTTATCCGGTCGAGGTTTTTCTATATTCTCACAAAACGAGACGACCATTTAATAGTCATGCAAAAAGTGGGGTTCTGTTCGAGTCTCGTTGCGATAAGAGAATAATGCGGTGTGTAAAGCTCATAAGATGTCCAATCTGCTTCACCCGATGTTACCTAATGCTAACCGTCATGTTATCATGCTCGCCAGCAATCTAAACAAGCAACAGGAAAGCGTGTAACCGAAACATTGCTCATGCGCCCTGCTTTAAATCTGTCTGTAAACCTGGCGGCTTCGAGCTGGATCGCTTCAAGTATTATCGGGATAAAGGTCACCTGGGTAATCCGGCAATCCAGGCATGGCATTAACTCCAAAACTTGAAAAGGATTATTGATCTAACGATCCTGTGAAAAAAAAAATTCTTGCATATAATTCGTAAGAAAATACGAGCCATAAAAAAATTAAAAGTATCTGGGTAACAAAAGATAATAAGCCGATATATTATTTGTAAAATTCTGAGTTTTTACCAGCTTTCCTCGACCCTTAAATTTACAGTTCACAGATGAAGACGTTGCTTGTTATCTTTTCTTATTTCCGTATTTTAATTGTTTCTCCATTTATAAATTCTCTTATTTTCCTACTTCTTGTCGTTCCCCCGAAGTGCTCCGCGAGGTCCTGCGATTCACGTATTTCTATTTAGTCCATAAGTACTAGGTACAGAAGGTGACCGTCTTCAGTTGTCAGTACTTTATAAAACAATGACACATTAAAACTTGGAAGGTTTTTTTTTTACCTTTAGCGGTTGTTTGCCCGAAACTTACTGTACCAGACAACGGTGGGGTAGTTCCATCATCTTGTTCTCAAACAGACGTCGAGTATGGCACACGCTGTGTTTTCTACTGCGGTGATGGGTATGCGCTGAGAGGTCCCAGATACACTACGTGTCAGAACGACACAAGCTGGAGCGAAATCGGAGCATTGTCCTGTGAGAGAGGTAAAAAGTTTCATTTGATGTATTCGATGTTTATAATGTCTCATACAGCCAATTAAACAAACTCATAATGAGGTCTGCAGAGAAACACGTTGATTGGTCGGGATTGACGTAAATGCTGGTTATTACTCATTGTGTCACTCTTTCTGGGCGGAATGGTCAAAGTTATAAGAAAACTTAAAATAGAAGGTTTGGTTTTATTGTCACACTCAGGCAGTCTCTAAATAATGTAATTGATCGAATGATTGTACACAGTTTTAAATGAAAAAATAATAATAATAATAATAAAACAAGCCTTAACTATTTTTTAACTTTCAACAGTGTACAAGGACCCGTGGATCGTGTGCCCAATCGATAGAGTAGAAGAACTTGAGCCAACCAAGTCGACAGTGGTGCTAGGCTATAAATGGCAGCTTCCAAGAACGAACATGATTAACGTTGTTGTGTCACCTAGCAACTACAATGAGAATTATACCTTTCCTGTAGGCAGGCATCGTGTCACGTGGACAGGCACTAGTGACAGTGGAATACAAAAGAGTTGCAGTTTCCATATCACTGTTGTTGGTGAGAAATTGCTTCATGCACGTCTTAGATTTAGTTTTAGATTTACCTTTAGACACTAGAGGGGGTCGACGCTAGAGATTGTTACTTACTTAGCTCTTTAAGTGCCAAGAGTGATCAACATCTGTTTTCTCCCAACAATGTCAAAGTAGAATCAGGGGGAAAGGTTAGAAGGTTCAATAAAATGATCACCTACAGGAAAACTGTGGATCTTTATATAAATTCTCTTTACTCATTCTTTAACCCTTTCACTCCCAGAGTGCTTGATGGAGCCGAGTTTTGTGAGGTAACTCTAACTTTTGAGTGTGTGGACGAAACCCTATGGAGTGACCATTCAAATGAAACTTCTCTACCTGTACTTACACATGGTGCTACTTGTTTTTCAAGATTTCACAAAATGAAATTTGGGATTTTTTGTTGAAGTTTACCTTTGGCCACATTCGGCAGTGAAAGGGTTAACAAAATGAATGGAGATCAGCTTTAAGAATTTGTATGTGGATCAGGGGGTTGAAAGGGGTAATTTTTTACTTTCGTCCCGTAGTCAGATCAGTGAAAATGATACCGACCGGGTATGTGGCTTTAATCCTTATCCAAGAAGATTAGAAGGATTAATAATTTACTGACTGGTGTGGAACAGTAGGCAGCACCTTTCGCTTCTTACTTTTAAGGTCTTGAGTCCCACCCAGAATCAAACCAAATCCCTAGCCTTGGGTCCACCCAAATGAGCTAACCAGTCGGAGGTTAAAGAGTGTATGCCTTTCTGGGAATAAGAGTGATTGTGCAAATAGCCATGTATGTGGCCGGTCCCCAACATAATTTTCTATTTTAAAATTTGGCGCACCGTTTGCCCGAACTGGAAGCCAACAGTTTCCTTATGTCAATGTGGAAAAACATTAAGTTAAGTTTAGAGGTTTTAATTGATCATTTTATTCTCCTAGACGTGACTCCTCCCACGGTGCAGAACTGTCCTTCTAATATAACTGATCGCAGCAACTCACTACAAAAGGACATCACGTGGACAGCACCAACATTCACCGATAATGTGGCCGTGGTAAGCGTATTGTCCAATCGCGAGCCTGGATTCACCATGGATACTTACACATCACTAACAGTGCGATACACGGCTTCTGATGCGGCAGGAAACATTGTTTATTGCACTTTCATCATCACCTTGGAAGGTATAGCAGCAATAATGGGTCTTCACTCTACCATGTCATTTTTATCCATCACGTCAAACGTCGCTTTTCAAAGGCCTCTCTTAATTTATCTTATAGTGGGTTCAACCCTTTACGTCCATGAGTGAAAATCATTAATTTACGCAACAACTCTCTCAGCGCTATCCACTGGATAAATCTCTGTCCAGTGGACAATGCGATTGTTTTTCTATAATATTAATAATATGCGATTGTTTTTTTATAATACCCTGAGTAATACTCTGGGTCGCATAGGTATGTTCGGTCTATAGCTTCGGAATTCCATACATGCACAGCTAAGATGGCTGCAGGACACTACATCTTAGCTGTTGTAACGTCAAGTCGACTTTGACAGTATTTTTTATTTCAGTCTAAGCAGGTGTTGGCAATTATGCTTGAGTTCAGGGCGGTTGTCGGGTCTCCTTTAGGTTCTTCGTGGATGTGGTTTTAATTAACAAGTGTGTCTATTTTTTGTCGTGGTCGGTCGTTTGTCTTAGTCTTTCTTGTCCATGACAACGGTCACCCGTCCTTTGTCTGGAGACAGTATGTCTACGTTATCGTCGGTTGCCAGTCGTTCCATTTTCCCTTCGTCTGCATTCAAGTTGCAGTCCGCAGTCTATCTCTGTTCTTAGAGAGGCGGATTGTAAAGTAAACTCTCTTCGTTTATGAATAAGGTGATGAAGGCTGGTTTCCACTTTAAACGGATTCAAGAGGGGAGTTCAAAGAAAATGGAAACGTTCTGTTTCTTGCGGGTCCGATTTAGTCGAGTTTAAAACTCTCTGACCTACCGAGCGCCACTACTCGAATAAGCGCCGCATCTTTACAGGAAATAATTTAATAAAAGCGGCGATGCTACTATTGGTATTTACAAATTAACGCCCCCCCTCCGCCCCCCTTGTTATGGCGCTTGATATAAAGAGATATCAAAACCATATCGCTTGAGAAATAAGACTTCGACCAACTCGTGAGTGATAAAGTTTTGATGTTGGAGCGTTTCATTGTGTTCTTTTGTAAACCGCCTAATTTTTAAATACGAGTTAGTTCTTTAACTTTATTAGATTTTAATTGCCATTTCATGTACCTTTTGTAACATGGGATATGTTTGTTTGTCTTTTATATAGACTTATTATTATTATTATTATTATTATTTTATACAACAACACTTTATTTCATATTTACATACAAAGGAAAAATTACAAAAATTGTAGAAAACTAGAAAAAGAAGTAGCAGAGAGAGTTTCAGTTTAAACTTATACATAGACGAATTGCAACCAATGATTTTCTATAAAAAATAGGAATTAAACAGTCTGATTCCTACACCTTCTGTGGAGAAGCAACGGAAAACCTGGTTCACTTATTTTGAAGCTGTAAATACTCTAACGCCTATTGGAAAGACTGCTATCAATGGATAATGCAAAACACCTCCAAAGTAGAAAAATTCAACCTCTCGGGAGCTCTCTTATTTGGCTTAATTAACGATGCAAAAGCTTTACTACTGCACCATTTACTACTTATTGCCTGGCATTATATCTACACCTGTAAACAAAGAGATACGCGCCCAAATGTCCAACTGTACATACAAACAGTTCAACGTACTGTGGAAATAGAAACGCAAATTGCAAAAGACCATAATTCTTTAGACACTTTTAAAAAGAAATGGTCTTTATTATTATTATTATTGTTATTATTATTATAATTATAATTATTATTATTATTATTACTATTATTATTATTATTATTATTATTATTAAAATGTAGGGAAACTCTTGAAAACCGGTTCATATAACAGTTCGAGGTGTACATATTTTATACTTTATTGTGCATACTCAGTACGCACCTCACTTGATTCTCTCTATATTCCCCTCAGTGTTTCACCCGTAGTTGAAATAAGCGCCGCACCCATAACAGGGGAAATGAAATAGGCGCCGCGGCTCTTAATCGATCATTTATGGTATTCACTAGGTCATAACTTACTAATCCCGGATTGCGACTACGACTTCGACTGCAACTCCCCTGCTAGTGAAAACCCGCCTTAAACTGTAACTCACTTTCACCAGGCCCCGCCTTTATGCATATATGTTATTCATTAACGAACAAACTACTAACTTTTGTTTTTATTCTTCGGTTTTGCAGGATCAACTTGCCCAACGCCAACGCAACCAAGTCATGGTAGGGCGAATGTTTTTGGGACGTTCCTGCAGCTGAGTTGCGATCAAGGGTATTTCTTCAATCCACAACCACCTGGTTACACAGGCCTGTTTATAAATCCATCATACAGGTGCGAAGACAATAAATGGATGTCCTTTGCTACTCCGAAAGCCGAATTGCCTGGAGGAAAACTGGATTGTATGAGTAAGTTGATTACTTACATTTCGAGGTAAATCATATAATATGCCAACAGCGAGTTGTATGTGGGTGTGATCCTCGCAGTTAATAGGCCATTTGCACGATCGCATCACTTTACTACGACTACCAGAATCCTTCAGGGTTTTACTTTCTTGTGCAATTGTTATTTAAACCTCACTGGGATTGACCAAATTGAATATGAAAGGAAAGACGTGAAGGATTCTGGTCGTAGTAGTAAAATGACGTCATCGTGCAAATGGTGTATTGAATAATCTAATACAGTAAACCGGATATTTGCGAAAACTTGTTTTAAAATAACTAAGATAGTACGCGCGCTCTGATTGGCCGAGAGGAGTGTTTGCATGAGAGTATGTAAACATGGTTGTGGCGTCAAGTTGTTTGGCTTTTCGCGCGCTAATCACGCAAGCACAAATTTGAAAAAGTTTTCGAGTTCAAAACTCAAAAAGTTTACTTTATTTACCCATTCCTTCGTCGGCTGAAATTTGGAAAATCGCTACAAAGAAGGTGTGTACATTTTTCTTCGCTTAAGCTGACCGTTTTAAGCGAGAAAAATCCGTATTTTGCAAAGCATCTTTTTGCAAAACAAGAACTGATTACGCGTGCAAGACTTCGTGGACAAGATTTTGCGACTGGTAAGAATTTCTCTTTTAATCAGTGCCTTACAAAGAGTTTTGCGTTTTTTTCTCGGGAAAGTTATTTTATAAAAGCAATAGAAAACTTTTTTCCTGTGTTTGCATAGCCTGATATAAACACTCGAGGCGTTGGGAGAATTCTCGACAGTTATGCAAACCCTCGACTTCGTCTCGGGTTTGCATAACTCTCTCGAATTCTCCCAACCCCTCTCGTGTTTATATCAGGCTATGCAAACACGGAAAACGTTTTCTATTGCTTAACTAATTAAGCTTATTAAGCCAGCTGAAGAGCAGGCTAATCATGTATAAACGAACTGGAATGAAGATATGGAAGTGGACGGGATCCTTGCAGTTGAATGAACGGTTTAGCGGTTCAGCGGCTAAAAAGAACCTGAGAAATTGTAAAGGTTCTGTACAACTGCTTAGGTTGTTAAAATAACCGCAAGGATCACATTCTCCCTGATTTAATCCATAGATGTAAATGGCAGTGAAAGAAATGGTAGTTAGAAATGATGTTGTTATTGTTATTGTTTTATAGTGCTTTACTACAAGTAATACACAAAACCAATTACAAAGGATACCTGTTGTTGCCACCCGTATCTGTATATCTTTAATTCTTCAAGGAAGACACTCTCCTTTGTGTCTCACAAGTCGTTAAACGTGTGTGTTAAAATCCTCCGTCCATACGTGAACGGTGGTCTGCAATCTCGTGAGCCGCCGAACGCATGCGGACACAACCTTGAAACCTAGATCTGGAATGGGAAGATTATTCTCTATTTTTTTTTTCCAGAGTACTTGCTATACAGTGGTTCACCCTGCCCAGCTGGATCCATTTTGGTGGATTACCAAGTATGCTGTAAGTTATTCGATTTTAATGCATTCCCGCCCTCAGCGACTTACGTTAATTCTAATTCCTATTCAAGTACATGAATTATAAGTCTTGCTCAATTGGTTATTTATTAACTTTCAGTGAACTGCCCTCCCGGAAGTTATGGTGACAACGTTACTAACACATGTATAGAATGTCCCATTGGATATTATCAGGACGTAGAAGGGAAACCAGAATGTCAGATATGTGCCAAGAACCGCTCTACAGCCATCACAGGAGCCAAGAATATCTCTGACTGCAGACGTAAGAAATTTTCTAATCAGTCTTTCTACCACAGGAAATTATTCACACCTAGCCAGTGTAAAGAGCTCACCCTATAGGGAATAGAAGACATCTTATGCAGGCTAAGTCCATGAAACCTAGGGTTTTTTTATAGGTGTTAAAGTTAGAACCACCTTATGTGGTATACTGCCGTTGGAAGTTGTGTAGTGTGACTGTTGTTTCGAGATAGTTTACTATAGCCTAACAAGTGCCAACATAGCAATCTCCGTAGATAAAGCAATTTTTCCGGTATATATATTTTTTTAATTGTAAACCTTTGTTGTCTAGTTTATATGCTACTCACAGTGTTTACTAATTTTAACAACAAAGCCTCTCTTGTTTTGCAGCCATCTGCCGGGCGGGAAAATATTCCACCAACAACGGCGTTTGCCCTTGTAAGAAATGTCCTTTTAATACATTCCAAGAGAATGAACAAATGACCAGCTGTAAAGCATGTCCTGCTGGAACTAGAACGTTGTACACTGGAAGTAAATCCATTGTCGACTGCGTAGGTATGTGTAAGAAAGGGTAAACTTTCTATACTCTCTAACTCCCTGGTACTAATTCACTGAGGACAATAAAGGACGCCTATTGGAGACGGGACCGGCATCATGACAACCACGTGAAGGCCTAGTCTTTTGCAGGGAAGAGACAATAAAACTGTCCCGAGTTAAAATTAAGTATTGCTAGAGTTGAATGGGATGTTGAGCTCGGAGTACACTTATAGTCGGGTTCAACACGCTTGATGATAAGTCAGATTAATTTGAAATTTCACTTCTAACGCCTGGTCAAATGGTCAAAAAATGTGTTTAGAGTCGATACTTCAAGATGTTGTGATGAGTGTGAACTCGCTCAACTTCCATGCAACCTTTTTTTTTTTCTGGAAATGCTGAAGGGCTTTTTCCTTTCGCACCTTTTTTGTACTCACAAAAGCGCTGACTGGAGTGCATGTTTCACTTAGCGTGGTCTCAGAATCTCAAATTGGAGAGATTAAGAGTTTATAGCAAACTTCAAACGACACGGATGATCGTGTGAACAATTTGAATTATCAAATAAGGAAATGAGCAGATTATTATGTATTACTAAAACTGCAAAAAGTCTATAAATGATTCTGTCTCTTCATCGTGAATGGAAGCGAAAAGATTCTGAACTTTTTAGGACCCATTAAGAAAGATGTTAACTATAAGCAGGAAAAGCTAGGAGAATCGGATCGGTGCTCCATATGGATTTTTCATACTGATTACCTACTGTTACTTACATTTTGTATAAAAAGAAAAAAAAATCAAAAAACAACTGTACTCCGAGTTAATGGTGGTATTCATTTGCTGGTGCTTTTTTTTCTTTCTTTTCTTGATTTATTCAGCTCCTGTAGCTATAACCGAGACTGTGCCAGGTTCAGACTTTTCGGTTCATGAGAACGATACCTTCTCCATATTGTGCAATGTCGAGGGAAGTCCATCACCGTCTGCATCCTGGAACAAAACAGGCGGTGAGTCGATACATGAAACAATCTTTATTTGGAATACAATCAATAAACGGTAGTCCGTTTTTACAGTTACAGTTACAGACGGAAACGAGGCTGGAGTTGACCTGGTTTTGATACAACTCTTCCTGCTTTATTATGTAAATCATGTCGTTCTTACGCATAACTTTCATAAGTAAAACTAGGGGTACCTTCCGGCAAGTGCCAACGAGGCGAATTCGTTTATCTTTTGTGAAATGTGCCTATTCAGATCTTCGCGATATACATTTTTTTTCATAATTTTAGAGGTTTACAATGGATTCCGCTATAGAAAAGGATGGCACCAAACTTCAAAACAACAACTTTGGCACACTCTAGGCTGTCACAATTTTATTGAACAATAACAACATAGCTTGAAGCTTTGTTGGTAAATATGAGCAAGTTAGCACTTGTGTTTCATGGAAAATTCCATTGTATCAAAACTATAAACGTTAGAAAAAAAAATATAGTTCCAATGAGGCCTTTGACTGCTGAAGTTAGAAATAATAATTAAATTCCGAGCAACAGCGTCATCAGGGAGAAGAAAAATATTTCGCGTGGTAATATACATAAGAAAAAGTTGGTGTAAAGTAAAATATGTGAAAAGCGCAAGAATGGGGCGGAATGTATCAGAGGTATAAAAATATAAACTTGAATAAAATACAAAGATCTAATGAGCGAGCGTCACAGGTCAAAGATTCTCTTAAAGGCATAATGATAGTCTTCAAAACAAAAGGTTCGCAAATTCGTTGCATTCCTCGTGGGAGTTTGGGCTGTATCATTGTAAATCAAAAAAACATGCTGGTTAACAAAATCTAAAGACATGAATAAATTCTAAAAAAGGTCCGCAAATACGTTGAGGACTGGCTCAATTTAAATCGATCTGATTAAGTTTTGAGAATATAACCCTATACCTTGATCAACTACTGCTTAAAATTCAATTCACAAAGCAAAAGACAACACGGAAAACCCTGGTTCTGAGTCGAGAAGCGAACGCGCTACCTCATTGTAAATCGAGCTGCAAAGAATAAGCTGGTTCTGACAAAAATTTGAGCGTAAAACCCTATTCCTTGATCAGCTGCTGCTTTAAACACAATTTATAAAGCAAACCAGAGCACTAATTGCCCTTTCAAACTAGAAATCGTATTAGAGCTTGCTCACCTGTTAGGTCCTCTTGAACAGACAACGAACAGCTGCCCACTGAATCACCCAATTTCGGACCACGAGTTATAATTACAAGACCATAACGTCACTACGCAAATATGGGGTCTTACTTACACCCAAATATGGTCAAAAATGCAAATTTTAGAGGGTTACGCAGAATTTGAGAGTTTTTGCCTACATCGTGCGGGATTATAAATCTGCCGCCGAGGCAACCTCGCTTCTTAGCTCGGTTGCCTCGTTGGCAATAACAAGGTTTGTATCAAAGCAAGGTCAACCTCAACCTCACGTTCACTAAAAGGCTGGAATACTAAGCTCACAAGTGTAAAATGGTCTATTAGTTTTAACATCATAGAGGTATTTCAATACCATTTTCAAATGCCAGTAGAAATGGTCAGTTTTCCATTATGTAAACTTGAAAAACACACACAACAAACAAACAAGCTGGAAACAGTTTTTTCAGTAGACTTGCTCAAACTCCCAGTACTCGTTCGTTTCACGATTGTTTTCCTAAGAACAATGTAAACAAGAACTCAGCTTTGGTTTAGAGACAACTATTAAACCTCAATTTGCTCTCATGGTATTCTTAAATTCTCGTAATTTTCAAAAGGACAGTAATAGGACGATCATATTCATCTTCCTTACGATATGACCCCTAGGTCAAACCAAACTGACGTATTCTGGCTTGACTTTCTTCGTTAACGTATCACATTTTATACTTAGATTTTCGTAAGTTTTAAGAGTAAACTTGGACGAACGTATTTTATATCATATGACCCGTACAGCGGGCCCCAAGCGCAATTTCGTTGGAAGACCATATGAAAAGTCCCGCACGAGGGCCGTACGCGTCAAGCGTTAGGGACGAAGAAAGCGTGTACGGCCCTGCTAGAAAAGCGTACTGATCGACGCGGGTTCGAACTCCGTCAGAAAAATTCAAAAACACAACGGTCATGTGATAAAATGCTTATCGATTGAGTTAAGTAGGACGGGACAGGAAAATATTTGGTTTCCCGTCCGACCCTTCCACTCAGTCAATAAGTACATAATCTTACATACGATATCACTACCGAGTCAAACCATTCAGTACAGTATCGTAGTTTCGTGTTTTACTTATCACTGATTTGTAACTTGTTTAGGTTCTCTCCCTGATGGCCGCACTACGATAAACGAAATCTACGACCTGGATGCGAAACTAACGGGTGTGGAAATGGTTATTACGGGAGCGGTGGTCTCTGATTCAGGCACTTACGAGTGTAAAGCCACTAACACACAGGGAACGGTTACCAAGCAAATTGCGGTTACTGTTCAGGCTGGCGCAACACCCAGCCGTTAATAAGGTAATAGTTAGATCATTGTAAATAACATTTCGGACTAGCAATTAAGTCTTAGCTTTACCTTTGCTGAGAAGATGACGACGAGAACGTCAACGAGGAGGAGTATGTTTCTTCTTTTTCTTTGTTTCTTTGTTGTTGTTGTCGTTTTTTTTGAGGGGGGGGGGAGGGTCTGCAATTAGTGCTGTCGCCTGCGAGCTGTAGGTAAATACGAGAAAGTAGGTGCGTAATTCGGAAAGCCGCTTGAAAACAGAAGATGCGTGCGAAGTTTTATAGTTTATCGATGAGTCTGGTGTATTTTTTTTCTCGACTATCGTTTGAATGTTGTTCCTACTCGTTCTACATGCGTATACTGTTCAAGACTGGATAGTTTATTAATATTCTGTAAACCACCAGACCTTCTAAAAATTAACAATCGAGAGAAAACTGAGGCTAACAACGGTCTATTTGAGGCTAAGAATGCTGCATTTTCTTCCGAGCATATAGTTCACAACATTAGCAATTTGTCCGAGACTCTGAATCATTGTTTGCAAACGTGAAAAAGTTACCTTTTTTTAAATAATATTTTCTAATAAATTATAGAAGTAATTTTTCTAAAATAATAATATGCTGTATAATGACCAAATTTAAGTGTAAAAACTAATTATCATATAATTGAAGGGTTTTTATTACCGCCTAAAATTACCAATTTAATCCTAACTTAATGTCGAATAGTCAGTAAATTATTACAAATGTAGCTTTTTTAATTAAAGGTAATAAAACAACTTTAACGATGTACACAGCGGGAACTCAGGACTCCTTGTTTTAAGACTTACGCGTAAACTGTAACTTTCAGTATTTTTAACTGTAATTACAACATATAACTGTACTCTCCTAACTGCCAGAGGCTGTTAAGCTGTGAACATTTAAGTCTTTTTATCTGTAAGATAGATTCATTTCTCCCTCTGCTGTCTCTTCCTTGTTTTCGTATACCGTAAACGTCCGCTTACAAGCCCTTCTCCCCTCCTACTTATAGGGGGCTTAAACAACAACGACGGCGACGTGTACGAAAACGTCACTTAAAAAGTGAATCCGCGCTACTTCAAACTTTATCGTGCTTATTCCAGCTCGTTCAAATCGTCAAATGTTGGCTATTTGTTTATGGAGTTTAATTCTAAAAGACTGTTTCAAAGTTCGGGGGAAGAAAAAGAAAGTCGTTGTCTTCGTTCACGTCCTAGACAAAACGTGAAATTAGGCACTTACACGCGTTGTAGTCGTGCAGCGACAGCAAAGAAATGGACAAAAAAGCGTGATGCGCGTGCAAAGTTGTTGTCTTGCTGATCTTTACCTATCACTTTTTGCCGTTCTCGTTACCGTCGCCGTCGTCGTTGCAGCTCCCTTATAAGTCCATCCCTAGTTTACATCTACCTGTAAAAAAATACATCCAGTTATATAAGCCCCTCATTTTTTTCTTCAGTTTTTTACGACGTATGACTGTAATGAAGCTTGTTTTCAAATGCGTTTTTTACTCCAGTTATTAGCCCCCCCCCCCCCCCCCCCCCCCCCCCTATCAAAACCCCCCCAAACCCCCCCTTAAGTTTTTTTTACCACCCGCCTTTAATACACGGGAATGGGGTTTCGAAAGAAATTTTTTATATCGAAACAAAAAAAAAAAAAAAAAAAAATATTAAGCCCTCCTTTTTTTGTGTGGATAGGTGAACCGCGGTGTTTATTTAGTTGTTTTCTTTTTTCTGTATTTTCCACGAAGCTAAATATCTCGTAATTTAATTTTCCTTCAAATTAAAATAAGGAGACAGTCAACTGTGCAAAATAATCACCTACCCGCCAACAACTACATGCCGCTTATTTAAACCTTGTTCAAAGGTCTCTCTCCTCTTTCTGTTCCATGAAGCAGAAGTTGGTCCATGAGTAAACGAGGTGTACCAATGTGTTTTTTTTTTTTATGGCGCGCTTTTCTTATGCCTCCATCATGGCGAGTGCTAGCTTGTAAGTTGAGATCTAGGACTAAATTTTCGCATAAAATGCAAGTAGAATTGCAAAACTACAATTATAATTTACGGGAAATTATAAAAGAAATGTTAAGCAAACATAAATATAAAAAGCGATTTAGAGGTGGCACATCAACTAAGTACTTCTTCGCGTATATTCCTGGGCCCAGTTCCTGAAGGCCGATCAGCGCTAATCCAGATTTAAAATTTTGTTTCGTTTTTGTACTTTACTTCCTATGTGTTGCTTAGAGTAACATTTTGTGTTATCATTACCGTATCTTGGAGGAAAGGCTCAACAGTATTTTGCAAGCTCGAGTTCCATGTGCTTAGACATGAAAACCTTGCTTAAAATTTGGTTAATCCTGGGGTAAAAAAAAATGCATTGTACTTGACTGTAAATGTATTTAGAACGAAAGCACTAATTGGGCACACTATTTTTTGTCTCCTAATGGAAACGGGACCGCCATTTTATGTGGTCATCCGAGCCACGTGAAGGTCTAGCCGCTTAGTATTGGTCCGCCCCCGGGAATCGAAGCCCCGACCTCCTGCTGTGCAGTCAAGTGCTCTACCGACTGAGCTAATCCGGCCTGAGCTAATCCTTCGAGTTACCGGGCCCTGATCCGGATAGCTTTTCGTGAACACCTACCCGATATGTGACTCTCCTCTGTAGCGATCGGCGCGGCGTAGCTTCGCTCCGTTACAGAAATCGCGCCGAAATCACCGTTGTTATGTGTGAACAGAAGCCCTATCCCGTATGGTTTTCGAGCCTGCGCAAAAGATATCCGGTATTGTGTGAACATTGCTTAAAACCTGAGCAAAATTATTTCTCATGAAAGAACATATGAAATTCAAATTTTTGAATCGCGGAATAAAGAGTTTCAACAAAATGGGGCCCTGATGGGCGGGTAACAAATTTCAGTTCCCAGGCTTATTTTCTTTTCAAAATCTCGGTTACCAAATCTGAAATCCTATAATTTGGGCCGTGGTTGTTCGCAAACCGATGTGCAGTTTAGGAATAAATCAAAGGTACTGTCAGCTGGCCCACGTATCTTCTAAACCATTTGAATAGTGCGTCTTCGAATTAGTGCACAAGAGCTCGTTCTGATATCCGGCAGAGTTGCAAGGATATATGTTAGCGTTTCTGATAGGCGGGTTTCTTACGAGTTTCTTACGTCTTGCGAGATTGAGGCAACTAGCCCCCACTTTTTTTTTTCTAGTGGTCTTTGAAAACGTTTGGAATAGATGAAATTCACATTCAAAGGTATTCTTTGGGCACTTACTTAGATTGATCCATAGCGTTTTTGAATGTGCGACGCAATGACAGTAAAAGAGATAAAGACAGAGGCAAAACGATCATTCTTTTATTTTTGTGACTACATTGCTGCGACTACAAAATTCGTCAAATGAAGTTTGATCAATGGTGTTGATTAAGAAAACAGGTGAAGTCACACGAATGCTGTTATTAAAATAGCCGACTGTCTAGTTCAAGCCGTCCACGAAGTTGATTGACTCGTCGTCGTACAATTTCATACTCTGCTAGCAGAGTCGCTTCGATATAAGTGACCCTGCTAGCAGGGTAACAATTTCATAGTCTGCGAGCAGGCCCAGAAATGTGCGAATTCGGGGAACATTTTGCCGCCGCCAAAATTTTCCCCGAATTCGCATAAGTAAATGGGCCTGTTCCCAGGCTAATAACTTCACTATTATTTAGCTCTGATGTCCATTAATAGCGCCCGATTTTCTTGGTGAAAATTAATAACATTTCCTTCACCGTTGTAAAAGGTAGTTTTTTTATTTATCTCTTTAATTTTTAAGAAAGAAATTTTTACAGTTAATGATTGTCCTTGTTTTAATTGTTTCTTTCTCTTTTTACATTATGTTTACAGTAGAATTTTTTATCTGTAAAAATATCACTTGATGAGAAGTGGAAAGGCGAGAGTAATGCAAATAAATCTTGCTGGCCTGGTCGCTATTGTTGAATTCGCCGCCACTCGGGAACCCCTAAAGGAGACCAATCTGGGCGTTGCCCAACCCTTTTTTGCACCTTAAAAGTGATCATTTTAAACTTTGATTACATGTATCGAGTAAATAAAACGAATTGAAAATATACAATTTTTTAATATTTCTTCGAGTGCAACCCTCAAAGAAACCTTTACGGCTAGAACACCCTAAGCGAGACCAAAATCTGCAATTTACACCCCTAAGCGAGACGACGAGCATCCCCGCCCTTTTCATATGGGAGTTCCTCCCCCTACCCCCCCTCCCCCCGGGCTCGGGAAAACCCAAACGGATCAACCTTAAAGGGTAAAACTGGCGAAGAGTTAATGAGACTGTATTGAATTAAAAGCACATAATCAACGCGAAAAATACGAACATATTAGAACCAGCGTGACCAAGCCCTTATAAAATATGTTTTAAGAATCTGAACATAACGATCTAGAACATTGACGTCCAATTATGACAGTTTTCTCAGAGTGGTTTCTTTGGCTTTCATAAACTTTAAAATAAAAGAGCGCTCTTTTATTTTAGCCCTATACGCGTCAGTATAGGTAAATTAATGCCGAGGATTTGTTTATCCAACTCTCAAAATAACGTTAATCACGTTATTTCCCAAGTGTGAAAAATTTCGCTGGGCGGAATTTTTCATAACTTAAGGGCAAGTGTCAGGTGGCGAAATTCCCAGTATTGAAAACTAAGCAAGTTCGAAAAAAAAATAACTGTGTTCAAAATGTCCGCTTTCTAAGTGTTTTTTATAAGGTGAGGTTGCTGCTATCAAGAAATTCTATATCTTCAACTAAACATTGACTTACGTTATTAACAAAATATATATTGCAACCTTTTTTACATTTAGCACACCGTTGCGTATTTGTGTATTTTCCTTTCTTTTATTGTACTTTTTTTCGTTAGACATAGAGTTTCTTGCTACTTTTTTGAGGTTAATATACACGAAAACTAGACGATACTATTTCTTCAAACTCCTTTTCACAAATCTGCATCACATTTAAGCAGAATAGTCAAAAAGT